ACGTACCTTCCTTGCCATGCAGGTACCAACAGGCGTGCTGGGATTTACCCTCAAACAAGATGCATGCTTGGAGAGAGCGAGCCAAGTGGAGGAAACGAGGATGCTCTAGGGACCAGCCCCACGGCAAAGGGGCCAAAGCCCAGGTGCAGGAGTGAGAAGCCGTCCAAGCCAACAATGTAGACGAAACAGACTGCTGTACGGCCCGGCTCTAGCTAACGGTAGCGGTGTGTCCCCCCAGAACAAGCTCGATTGCACGACTCTCACATCACGTTTTTTTCCAGAATCCATCGGGACGGTGGACCAATAGCGGCATGGGCCGAGTCGATGCAACCTCATCCCTTGGGCGTGGCTCGCCGTCTTTCCTCGCATCACACGACAGCGGCTGTGGTATGGCATGCAATCAAGGCCTTGTTTGTACAACAGGAAGACGAGGTCACAGGGAGACGGGGTCAGGCAACGGGGATGATGACGCTTTCGGTTCACCATGCGGGACTATACCTCTGGCGATAAGCATTCTGGAGGCAATAAGGTGAGAGGTTAGCAGAGAACGGATGAAAATTCAAATAGAGTGTCCTCGATCCGATGTCGTCAAATGTGTCACTTCATGGGGGTCCAGCTGGGATGAGGCCCTGAACACCTTTTGGCCCTGTGCTCGCGTCGTTGAGGAGAAACGGGAGCGCCAGGCGATCAAAATTGGAACAAATGCTCACTGTCTGGCATTTCACTGGCACGTTTGATCCCTCGGCGGGTCCAGCTAAGCGGATGGGGCGGCACCAAGACCGGTAGTTTCTGGCTCCTCTCCCCCGTCACTCTACTCCACACCATCTGCACCACACACCCACCTCATACTACTTGGTACACTTGACACCAACAACGCACCACATTTCACCCGGCAAGCCTTGGTGGCCGGCAGTCTTCATCATAATGCTGCCTGGAAATTCTCGCCTTCGCCTCCGCTTTTGCCATCATCACCGCCATCGCACGAGTCGCGGCCCCCCTCGTTTGAGCAAACTCTGCTCTGTCGGCGCCGCCTAGACGGGTGGCTTGTCTGCAACTGACCTCCTTTGACCATGAATGTGGTCTGCGTCTATCCTGTCACCCGAGACTTGATTATATGGCCATCGTTGGCTCCAGAAGCTGCATCGTCAAACATGATGGTACTCCAATCGATGTCGTCCCCTTTTAGTTGACACAAGAACGCTTGGCAGCCTTCTGCGATTGTCGATTGTCACGACGATCCTTCCATTGTTCGGATTGGGAGCAACTTCAACGACCAAAGCCTTACTGGCAGCCGACAATATATGCGATGAACTTACACACGCGCGTCATGTCACATCGAGACCGACAGTGAAAGCATCATCTGTCCTTTTGGACGACGTCGACACCTAATCTTTGGTCTGCATACCGAGCAGAGTTCCAAGCTCACTGCAGGCTGTGCATGTCACGGTGCTCTGTGCTCCGAAAACTACGACTTCTGACCCCCTAGCACCCCGAATTAGGATCAATCGCGAGTCGAGTGTTGGTTTCTCCAGCCCGACGAGTTCGTCACCCAATGGCTTCGTCTCGGAGCCAGGTCACACAGTCTTCAGTGGCGCAACAGTAATACGACGGAAAAGACAGTCCACCAGTTTTACGCAGTCACTTCGACGTCTCAGCCCTTCATTCTATTTTCTATCCATGCGGGCTGCCGTGGCCGTCATTATGCCATATGTACTGCCCAGCTCACTGTCAGACAATGCCTTCCAGCTGATCTCGGCATTCTTTTTAATCGCCCTGGCCCAGGTCAGCGACAAACTTCAACAAACGCAGCACTGCATCCTCTGTTTGTCTTGGTGTGGCCCGGACTCAACTCAAGGATAACCTGGCAGCGAGGATGATCAGCGCAGGGGCGGTCTCGCCACGCCCCATTTCCCCACCAACAGCTCGGGAACGGCTCGGGGGCTGTTGGGTTTCGCAAATGCTGCTCACAGGAGCTCGACATCGGGACAACACGGTGCCGCCAACGTTCTACCAGCCCCGTCGCTGCCCCCGGCCCCCAACGATATGGTAGCCGGTGCGACATCCAGCCCTCGACCCCCGACCCTCGTCGGGTTCAGCGGCACACAAAACACCTTAACATGGCTGTTATCGTTGTACCGGCGTGGGTACCCACGCTTCCTTCGGGGCCAAACTGGGTCGCTAGGCACCACGGGCTCCCCACAGGTGTTTTCGGATTCCCTTTTCCTGCTGCGTGGTTTATCAATGACTGGGTAGCCGAACACTCATCGGTCTTTCAGGCGGCTCCTTGCACGACTCGTCACGCGGATTTGAGGAACAAGCTATTCAGCCCGGCTCACAGACCAGGTCCCTGTCCATCGGACCTATTCGATATTCTGCCTCGTTCTTGTGGCAAGAGTGACTACCATGTGCCACTGGGATTGTGTGTCAATCTTGGTCTGAGCTTCAATAAATCCGTTGGTTATGGTTGGTGACCACTGCCAGGGCGATCCTTGAGCAGGATTGCCGGGTTGCGTTTGACCCGGTGTCACTTCTTGGACACAGCACGCGAAGTCTTCTAGCCCCTTCGACGGATGTTTGTTACGACCTACAGCTACTTCGACTTCTTATCACCTGGTTCGATTTGGTCCCAAGGCTCTCCGGCCCAGCCAACGTCTGTTCGTTATGTCAAACGCCATTCCTTGCTCCATAACAATACCATGTGCGATGATTGCGCCGCTAGATGACAACGTCACTTATCAACGAGCATCCTCGTTCAATCTGCAGCAGCCTGTAGAGTTAATCCATCTGCCATCGTCCAGAGTATGCCGCGAGCTTGGTGTGTAGCTTGTTCAGAACGGACCGAATTTACTGATGGAGGGGTCGAGTCTCCATTCTCCCAACTGAACTAGCATTTGTGGGATTTGGCTGGAACACGAGGTATGTATGGGGTATCAGGGGCCACGTAACTGAGGCTTGCTGGCGTCTACGTGGCTGTTTTACAGGGTCTGCATGTTTCATGCTATCGAGGCGCCGCTGTGTAAGAGGCATCCCATGAGTATTACGTGCAAATCAGAGCTATATCTACGTCCTCTAGCTCCAGAAGCCCAGCGGCCAGTGACCTACCTAGGCACATCCGCTGCAGGTGTATCCGGTTCCGGGCATATTTTTCAATACAGTGGTTGATCACTGGCGGGCCCCTTTATGGCGTGCAGTTAGCTAGTATCATTCAGAAGCATTGCACGCCGGGCTTTTCCATTTGCGAGGCAAGTGAGGCCCCTCCAAAGCGCGTAGTGTGATGAGACCGATGCCATTCTCGTGCAGTGACGGTCGAGTGTTAATTGAATAGACAAACGCAGCTGATGCAGAGGATGCTGGGGTTGACGCGTTGTCGATGCTGATTTCCAGGAGTAGGTCCAGGCAACCACCACGATAAAGGAGGCGAGCATTGCTCTGTCAATCAACTCCCCAAGGTTCAGTCGCTGTCCATCAGTGCGGCCAACTCGGCCTCTTCATCCGCCGTCATGAGCCCCTCCTTCTTGTCATCGTCCGTTTTCGCCTGCTGCTCATCTTCCTCAACTGGCTCGCCAGCTTTCCGGATTTCCTCTACTGTTTCGTCGAGAGCCTGCTTGTCGAGACTCCATGTTCGAATTGTACGATCAATACTGATGCTGACTAACGTGTCCTTCTTCCCCGAGGGATCCCTCAGTACGATCAAGTCGGTGATTTCGTCAAAGTGTGCCGATATCGTGTAGACGAGGCTGCCCGACGTGCGGTCCCACACCTTGATATCCTGGCTGAACCCGCCCGTGACGACCCACGTCTCGGTGAGGACGAGGCCCTTGACGAAATCACCATGCTCAAAAGTATCCTCTGTCGTGAAGCCCTTGCCGCGGGCGAGACACTTTGCCGTGCCGTCGGCGCTCGCCGTCCACAGGTCAATCTCCTCGCTCTCCTGGTCAAATAGGACCTTGTAGACGCTCGTCTCGTGCTCGGAAATGGCACCCCCCGTCGCCAGCGCAGCATCACCAGCCGCCTCACCGCCGACCTCACCGCCAGCCACCATCTCGGCGCCGTCGAGGCGCACCCGCCAGCGGCGCACGACGGGGTCGCTGCTCGCGCTGACGACAACGAGCTCGTCGTCCGAGGACGCGACGGGGTCGACGGCAAGCGATTGCAGCGACATCATGGCGGCGGCGGGGTCCTGCAGCGCGTGCAGGCGGCGGCCGGTGGCCACGTCCCAGACGAGGATCTTCTTGTCGGCGCCGCCGCTGAGGAGGACGTCGCGGCCGCCGAGGCGCGCGGCGGCGAGCGTCTTGACGAAGTCGGCGTGGCCGGCGTAGCGCCGCTGCGGCGCGCCGGTGCGCAGGTCCCAGGACCAGATGGTCTTGTCCCAGGCGCCGGCGAAGAGGGTCGTGCCGCTGGTGGCGAGGCTCGTGACGGGCACGGCGGGACCGGCAAACTTGGCCGTGGGCTTGCGCGAGGTCAGGGAGATGCGGGCGACGCGGCCGGAGGACTCGGCCGTCAGCAGGGCGTTGGGATTCGTGGGGTCGGGTAGGACGGCGAGGACTTTGGACGGCAAGCGAATCGGGTTGCCGAATGGGTTGTCTTGCTTGAGGGCGCGCTGCTTGCGCTTCTCTTGTTGGACGCTGGGTCTGGGTTAGTGAGGAGCGCCTTGGGGAGTCAGGTTGGTGGTTCAGGGGCTCACTCACTCGGTCTCGAAGAAATTCTCCTGGTTGCTCGACTCCATGGTGCTGTTTTAGGCGGAAGCCAGTAGGGATTTGAGATCTTGGGGGTATCAATTAGAGGCTGTATCGTCAAAGAGCAGTATGACTTGAGCTCAGTACAGTGATACCAAAGCCTGGAGGTCAGTGGCAGTGTTGACTTGTTCTTTCCATGAGATTCTTGGTCATCTGCAGTGAAATGGCGGGGCAGATGGACACACTGGCAGACAGCTCCAGGCTGCCCCTCACTAAGCTCGAATCCACCTGATTGCAAGTGGGCCCAGCTGTCGTTTCCCAAACGACCCAAGACGCGCCAGATTTAATTGATTGACGCGTCAACGCGCTCCTCACATCTGTCACCCCTTGCGAATCCATGAATCTGTAGATCGGCCTGCTCCTCGACCAAGCCTCCTCAACACCATCAGGCGAGGTAGAATTCGAGCTTCGTGGCACTGCTTCTTCCGAAACCATCACAATGTCGTCCACAGCCCCGAGGGTAAGGCCACGGCCTGCCCACACCTCCGGCACAACGCGCTGCGCCTACACCCCCAACGGCTCCCGCCTCGTGACCGTTGGCTCCAACAACACCATTCGATTGTACAAGACGGGCTTTGACGGCGAACCCATCAACATCGACGAGTGCCAGGAACAGAACGTCACAGTGGCTGCTGCTGATGACTTCTTTGTCGTCGGTTCTGAAGACGGCACCGTCAGCGTCTACTCCTCGATCACTGAGACCTTTGATCGGTTCATCACCCGCACCTCGCTGCCCATACGCGACATCGCCCTCTCTCCCGACCTCAAGTGGTGCGCTGTTGCCAGTGACGAGTTGACGGTCAAGATTGTCGGCACCTTTGACCACTCGTACATTCGCACGCTGAAGGACCATGGAAGACCTGCGAAACACGTTGCCTTTGATCCCAAGGGCGGGCTCCTCGCCGTGTCCTGCACAGATGGCATCGTTTACGTCTACTCACTAACGGCAGACCAGCCAGAGCTGATACACAAGGTGGATGGCATTATTGGGTCGCTGGAGACCGACTCGGATCTCTCTTCAGAGGCTGTGTGGCATCCTGACGGACGGGCCCTGGCGCTGCCGACACCTACCCACGATATTCAGGTCGTTTCGAAGAACGACTGGGAAAAGCAGCGCGCCTTTTCCAATGGTCACCTCGGAGACGTCACTGCCCTGGCCTGGTCGCCCAACGGCGCCTTGCTAGCGACGGCCGCCAAGGACGGCAAGGTTCTCATTTGGGAGACGAAGACGCAGAGCGTCATTTCAAAAGTTCGACTACAACAATGTCATTGATCTCTCATGGCATCCCACCGACAACTTGCTGTCCTTCTCCACGTCGGAAGGCGAAATCTACATCTACCCTGACCTCATCAACGAGCAGTTCGCCTCCCTGCTCAAACTCCCTAAACAGCCCGCTCCCTTCATCCACGACCCCCTCTCCGAGATCTCCAACGCCCGCCGCCCACCACAACCTAATGGCAACACCAATGGCAACGGTGCACTCCCTTCTCGGCCCCGCCGCGACTCCCTCGGAAGCCTGGACTCATTCCTCAACGCTGATGACGACGGTCTCGGCGATGGCGACGACTTTGTCGTTGACGATGATGGGGCCGGTTATGCGGCAGGATCCAACCGCAAGCGGCCTCATGACGGCTCCGGCCCCATCGAGCACGGCGGCAAGCGACGTCAGCTTATGCAGGCCGAGTATCACGAGGCTTTTCAGCCGGGATCGACCCCATGGCGCGGCAACAGGAAGTACCTCTGTCTAAACCTCATTGGCTTCGTCTGGACCGTTGATCAGGATGGCCATAACACCGTCACGGTGGAATTCTACGACCATGAGCTCCACCGCGACTTCCACTTCACCGATACCTTCCTTTACGATAAGGCGTGCCTGAACGAGCAGGGCACGCTCTTCTCGTGCCCGCCTCTAAAGGACCAGCCAGCGACCATCTTCTACCGACCGCACGAGATGTGGACGCAGCGTCATGACTGGCGGATCCAACTGCCCAAGGACGAGCACGTTCTGGCCATGTCACTTAGTGAATCGTTTGTGACGGTGACAACGACGGCCAACTATGTAAGGGTCTACACGCTCTTTGGACTTCCGTATCGCGTCTACCGTCCCAAGAACACGCCCATGGTCACGTGCGCCAGCTGGAAGGACTACGTCCTGACAATGGGCAATGGGCCTGTCGGAGCTGATGGCTATACGAAGCTTGTCTACACCATCGAGAATGTCAAGACAGATACCATCTGCCAGAACGAAGACACAGTTGCCCTTCCCGATGGCGCAACACTCAAGAGCGTCTTCTTCTCGGACTCGGGTGTATGTCCTCATCCTAAACCTTGACGGTGGAAAACCAACTGACAATGCAACAGAACCCATGCATCTATGACTCGACAGGCACGCTCCTCACCCTCCTCCACTGGCGCAGCCCCTCCCGCGCCTCCTGGATTCCCCTCCTCGACACCAAGCTCCTGCCCCGCCTCGCCTCTGGCCGCAAGACTGAGACGTACTACCCCATTGCCGTTGCCGACGACAAATTCCACTGCATCATTCTCAAGGGCGGCGACCAGTATCCTTACTTCCCTCGGCCCCTTCTCTCCGAGTTTGACTTCTCCGTACCCCTGACTTCCACGCCCCCGAAACCCGCCCGCGCGGAAGAGTCCGACGCCGGCGACGAAGACGAGGACGCCGAAGCCGGCCCGGAATCTGAATCCCGCAAGCTTGAGCAGGCGTTTCTACTACGCACGCTCGCGGCGGCGCAACTGCGCGACGCGGCGGACGACGACACCCCCAGCGGCAGCGGCGGTCGGCACGCGCAGCGGTCTGCGCTCGCGCGCGTCGAGCTCGAGGTCGACAAGACGCTGCTGCAACTGCTTGCCATTGAGTGCCGCGAGGGCGACGAGAGGGGCATGCGCGCGCTCGAGATGGTGGAGCTCATGCGGGACCGCACGGGACGCATGGTCGATGCGGCGGTCAAGGTTGCTGAGCGGTACGGCCGGACGCTGCTTGGTGAGAAGATTCGGGAGCTGGGCGATAAGAGGGCCAACGGCATGGAGGAAGACTGGTGAGCCTGTCTGCGTGCTGGAAGAACGACGCTCGCGTGTGATCACGGTCTGGTTTGGGCGTTTTGCGAGCACAGCTGCTGCTGGGATTGGGACATCATCTTGGGCCGCTTTGTTGTTAGAATGATGGGGTCTGCACGTGTCCGCCGATGACAGCCTGGAAGATGTACACGGACATGTAATATGATCAACTTGGGAAATTCGCATCGACTGTTCAAACATTCTGCACACGCCGTTGGTCGTTGCTTGTTGACATGTAGGGTGAAGAAGGCTTGCCTGCTATCGTAACGCACATCAATGATGGTGCGCGCAAATTACAGATTGAATCTTCATCTGTACCGTGATTTTGTCTCCTCAACACGTGCCACAAGCAATGCTCCAGCCCTGTTCAGAGGGACGCTGTGGCAGACATGACAGCTGCCGGGATTCCGTCCTGTACCTTGAGTGAGACTGTAGATGCACAACAGACTGGACTTCGTCCACCAATCTGCCAAGAATTATCTGTTCCAAAGCAGCCGCGATGCTGACCCGTATGCGGAATATTTCCGAATCACTGACCGCGAAGTTGCCCATGAAGAGCGAGCACGCCACTGTCTCGACTTCCTGTACCGTCAATTGTATATTGTCCAAGAAGATTACCGATGGGTGGCCAGCAAGGATCGGTCGGCATCGTTGAGCTACGCCTCTGATTCTTAGATGTACGACAGTGAACTTGGTGGTATGGCTTTTCAACATTGTGACACAATTCACAAGGTGACTCGCCTGTTCCGACCGTGGAAATTACAACAGCTTAGAGATTCCAGCGGAATCTACCTTACAGCCTCTCGTCTAGTAAAGGTTCTGAGTGGTATTACGCGATAATCTTGAGCCTGAGCGTGGCGTTATACGAAATGACAGAAGTCTTGTCTACCAACAAATATCTCTTAGCAGTGAGCGCGTAAGGTTGGTCCGCCAGCGGCCTCTTAGCCTTGCTCTTCCCTGGGGAAAGAGGGACTACTTCGATCGCCTTCTATACAAATACAGAAGCAGGACCGTGTCTCTGGGGGGAAGACCTCCTCACAAGGACCATCCGCTGTGACTCTGCTCAAACTTTGGGTTTCGGTGGGTGCTCCAGCGCTCTCCTGGCCGTTGCCACAGCTGCCCGCGCAATCTACAGCATCGAAATCGACCAAGCACTCATCAAAGCTGCAAAACGTTCCCGCCTCACTGAAATGATGCAGGTCCTTGTCGAGGAAGGCGCAGACCCAAACGCAGTTGACGAGGACGGCAATACCGCTCTTCATTACTCAGCCAAGCGAACTGAGTCTGGCGGAGTCAAAGCAGCTCGCTTCCTGGTCTCTCAAAACAACAGCCCTATCAGACCTTTCTAAGAACGAATATGACCATTCTTCTCAACACTGTGGATGATATGAATAGCTCCACCCTCGTCAGTTTGCTGCTCAACTCTGACGCAGCATCGCATGTCGTCAATCTTAAGAGGCGAACGCTGTTTCAAACAAGAACAATGCGCTTCACAAGATCTCGTCAGCTTGAATGCATTGACAGTCAAGTCAGACATAATGGCGGGGGAAGAACCCGCCTGATCGGTCCTCCATGTTTGGAGCCTAGAGCGTGGTCACACAAACCGACATGACCAAACCGCACTTGATCTGGCTGCCATGTAGGCAATATGCCAGCCCAAGTACTACTACGTCACGAAGCTAATACAGTTTGTAGAGACAGTCTTGAGCGGGCGATGCTTCTGATGACCGCGGTGGGTGGTGGTTCTGTGAACGTTGGTGAGATATGCTTCTCGATCCTGACGCGGAAGCTGCATCAAAACGCCCAAACTGTCAAGAGAAGAGAAGATCGACGGCAAGCCGAGAGTTGTGTGCTCTATGATCGATTCTCTGCAATGGAGCCCTTGACAGCGATCTCGACAGGACCAGGAACTGGAACACGGGGCGAGGCCGACGCGATAAAGCCTCTTCGCAGACACCTCATCATTATCGACGAAGGAACTTTTGAAGGACGAGTAAATAACAGTGGCTAGAGAGGTTCATTCATAATGTACGGAATTACGAGTGTTGGCAGCGAGCTGAATATCGAGGATGCTGCCTGAGATGGCCTCATTCAGCACTTTGGCAAGCAAATGCAATCTAGCATTTCAGGACCCGGACCAGGATGGAAAGTGGGGTATCATGATGGCGTCTGGGGAAGGTTCGTATGGAACGAGCGCGGCTCGTTTTTGCTACGAACTCTTGTCAAGAAGTCCCCCTCGATAGAGACTTCGATAGTCGTGGGGTCTTGGTCTAGGTAAGGAAGAATTGTTTACACCCGTTCGATACCATTGCACCAAGAAGCAGATCATATGCTCTACAGTGAACTCATCATACAAAGATTGATGACAGGCGCAGAATGCATCAGGCTCGGTCAGGGTCGGCCCAGGGTAGAAGTGGCGAGGCTCCTGAAAGAGCCGATTTCAAACCAGCCCTAGTGAAGCCCATCCGGGGGGTGGGGGGTCCTGGCTTTGTATTGGGAGATGAAGTGCTGTCTGAGTTGTCGAATCGGATCGCGCAGGAGCATCTTCCAGAAAAAGCAGGGGGTAAGCGAGATCCGAAAACGGATAGCAATGGCACATCAATCCAACCTGATACAAAGCTACCGGCTTCTGGAAGATATTGAACACCATTACTGTACAAGCACACACACCTCCTCCCATGACCCCTACCCTAGGTAGAGCCTAGGGGACTAAAAGTCAGACTGCCAGATGAAGAAGGACTGCCGCAGCAGCGTCGAACCTGCGGCCGTCATATCGTTGGCCAGGGGTTATCGATCGGGGGGTGTCTCTTTTGATGGAGCGCGAAGAAAGCTTTCAACTAAGGAAAAGGGGGGGGGGGGCGATCTCCTGGAATTGATGAAAGGGAAAAATTCTGAAGCTTGTGCCTTTTATTTTCTTATTCCCTGGCGTGTTAAGAAATCGACAGGGGCAGGAGGATGTTTGTTCTTCCCGACGAGGATGAAACACATGGGCGTAGCAGCTGCACAACGTGCATACGGAGATCAGAGATGCTTTTGCTTCTGCCTATCTTTGGTAGTGGTCAGGGCTTTTCTTCGGTCTTCGGTTCTTCAGCCGCTCGTTCGGTCGCTCATTCGCTCGTTTACCGGTTGTACCCTTCAAGACGACCTACTTCAGACACGATTTGGCCGCATCCACCAAGATCGGTTCGTGGCGTCATCTCTGTCAACCAGCCTGTTGTGAAGCGGGGAATAGCGAGAGAGAGAGAGGGTCGGACCTTGTCCAGCTGAGGCGGCGTATCGTGCTGGGCTCGAAAGCGGTCCAATGGCTTGTTTTTGAGGTGTGGGGGGGTTCAAGTTAAGGTAAGGTACTCTACGATTCGCCCTCGCGGTAGCGTAGCGTAGCTCGCTCGCTGAGAGCCGGGACGTCGTGGCGTTAACAAGACAAGACACGACAAGTGCATGCAGCCAATAGAGGAGCTGTGGTTGATCGTGACCATCAAATCCCCCCCTTTCATCTGTTGCGCGTGAGAGCCAAGAACGACGCGTCTTGAAGGGACAGCCGTCGCGTGGGCGGGCTTGATTGCTTGCATTGAACCCTGCTGCTGAGCATATCGCTTCAGAAGGGGTCTCGGAAACCATTGACAGCACGTCAGCAGCAAGAGCCGCCACATTCAAAACAAAGAGGTCGCTCGCTTCAGAGCTCTTTTCTTTCTCCAGTCAGGCATCAAGCATCAGCTGTCCTCCAGCTGGGCGCGATTGGGGAGTCGCGGCTCTCGGCGTTGCGGGCCCTGGAGCTGAACATGATGGAGGGTGTGATTTTGAAGAAAAGGGGCCTCCTTTACCACGAGCACGCGCTAGACGACATGCGAGGATCAAGGTCTCCATCCAAGGTAGCAGTGACTGACCGACTAGACGAGACGCAGCTGCAATCATGCACCCCCAGCCGCAACGCTGCGTTTCGCAAAGTCGCAAAAAAGAGGCTGGATAGCTCGAATGCTTCTGAGCGTCAGCATGCTTTAGCATGGTTAGTGACAGGTCGTGTCTCGGCCTGGAGGGGGATGAAGAGCTTCGAAGATCGGAGGTAGCCCTTTCCGGCGATCGTAGTTCATCCAATCCAACCCACTGATACTTGAGCAGTGTCCACCACGATTATTACCCAGGCGGCCATGTCAATTCGAGTGTGAAGGGGCGCCGCGTGCCGGAAAAGCTCCCGCGGTCGGACTGGGCCAGGAGCTTGGACTCGAAGGTTTTAGCTGCTCCCCAGGAACGATGGAAGTGCGATTGATGGATTGATTGTACATGCGACGAGGACAATCCACAACACTGGAGAGAGATGGGCACGGACACGCGGCATTGTCGACAGTCTCGTCTTCCCGTTACAATGCCCCGGATCTGAGAAAAGACAGACACCGTGACGTGCTCGTTGGGTTCCAGAGATGGTTGAGCATCGATTAGATCCGTGCGCTGTCTCAACGGCCAAGGCCATCACGACTGGAGAGGTCGAGGTGGCTTATTGTTCCTAGCATCGTGCATGTCCGAGTGACATGGGGTGGATGGTAAGGAATTCCTCATCGACCATTCAGGGCTTTGACGGCGCAAGCTCGTGGGATTTCTCGAATCCACTGTGTCAAAATTACGACGATGGAAATGCACGAGTGAGACATGCTGGAAGCTGAACGTTTTTGATGGCAGGGATAGTGGAAGAAAAGCCCCAATGAATGAAGGCTGGCCGTCGTCAATTCGCCATGGAGACAGAGAGAGAGCAGGGCTGGATTGCACACAGGACCCTGTAGATATCTGTTGTACAGTACCTGTACCTACCTAGGTACTGGAGCTAGGAGGAGCCATGTCGGCTACAGATGCACGGAACTGGGAAGGGCAAGGGGCAAGCGTTTAGACGGGCAAGAAGAAGGCAGGCAAGACAACAGTCGACCAGAGGGTTCTTGCCAGGCAGGTAGATGCCTGCCTAAGGTAAGGTACCTACCCAGGCTACCGCAAGTACTTATCTAGAAGGTAAGGCTGGAGAGAAAGCACAGTCCAGCCAGCCAAAGGCGCCTTCCCCCACCTGCCTTGGTCCTTAGTGAGTGGGGCTACAGTGGACGTGTCCTACACTGGTCTGGACCCTGTCGGAGTATTGATCGAGTGTCTGATCATCCAAGGTCCGAGTGCCTAGGGGTTCTTGGGTTCTGGTCCATCGAGTCTTGGGCTGCGATGGATCTTGGATCCATGGAACCGATATTCATCACCACTTCACTAGACCGTGCCTTTCAATCGCCAGTACGATCCTCTGTCGAAAAAGAATCCGATTTGGCCACGATGGACAGGAGGCACCGGGACAGGCACAAGTGACAAGGTACCAGAGACGGGAGACGACGCTCCCCACGCGAAGACGCAAGCATGGAACGAAACGTGAGTGTCTCCAAGGCGGGCCATGAGCAAGGACTGGTCAGCATCCTCATCATCAAGATCATCATCAAGATCATCTTCACCACGGCACCAGAGCAGAACCCGTCTGTTCCCACCACGCTATTGGTACCCACGTATCCTTGTCGACAATTGTCGTGGCTGGCCGCCCATCGAATTCCCAAGTCTAAGCTTCTCGGCCCGTCAGCCATCATCAACAGCAACATTACCTCGCGCCACGCATTCCTCTCCTGACACGCGCCCTGTCGCTGGTCGAGGTGACATCCAACCACATTACGATCCGTTGCGGTCAACCCTCAGACAAGCCCGGTCATCAGACCGCCCCCGTTCCAGCCGTGAAGCATCGTCATCGATCGAACTGAAATTGGGACTCGACTTGGAGCTTGTGCTGCAGCAGTCGGAGGCTTGAAAGCTCTGGACGACTGCCGGACACCTGTCCAATCTGCCCGTACAAAGACGAGATTCTGTGCCGGGTAGGTACCTACCTGTATCTGCAAGGTCCCTGGAGCCTTGCCGAGTGGGCCTCGAAGTCAGCGTGGTAAGGCTCCCTGTTAGCACCACGAGTCTCGGTCTCTAATACACACAAGGCCGAGAATCTAATCCTAACAGAGTCAGGGCCTCCCACAGTCCCCTGCATTCTCCTTCATCACATATCCAACACAACCTAGAAGCCCCCCCTCACCCTCACCAAGGCAGTCGCGCCAGCTGCTGATCCTTCCTGCCAGTGGCTCCTGCACCTCCTATACGCTCACGGTCTCGGCGCCACACGGCGACGGTCGACTCCCGACTCAGGCCTGGTGGCCTCGAAGCCCACCCCACCAGCCAACTTCGACCCTAGCTAGCCCTCTGTCCAGGCCCCTCGATTTACCCCCCTCTTCCCCTTAGGCCTGAGGTAGACTCAGACCTTGAACGTGCCTCAACATCAGCCAGCCTGCTCGCCTTCATCCACCCGTCTCGATAACCTTTGTCCACCACCAGCCCGCCATCCATTCCGTCATATCACTGCGCACCGCCGCCCGAACGCCAGCGACCACCCATCCTCCTCGAATATTCTCGGACCAAGATCTTCGGCACGCGCCGGTATCGATCCTTCACCAAATTGTAGTTGCTGGCGTTTTCCACCTACGACGCCAGAGTTCCCCCACCTCCAGCCGCGCCATCTGCTTGTACTGCATCTTCGACCTTCCCCCAGGTACCGACAGACAGACACGCAAACAAGGCCAACCGACCGCCCGCCCGCCCGCCCGTCCGCCTGCCAGCGTCCCCTTGCCCATTCACAAGCCCTGTCCGACCGGGTTACGCGCATATCCACCAAGCCCACACACGGACCCGGCACCGAGCGCAAGCACCAAGCACTGAGCACCAAGCACACCCAGTCAGCAGCTCGTTCGGGACCCAACAGGTGCAGCCCAGCAGCAGCAGCAGAAACGCCAGTCCGTTATTAGGAGACAATTCCGTACCAGAGCCAGAGCAGCAACTCCACGGATAAAGCAACCCACTGACCTGCCATCCATCTCCACGATCTATCGTTCTTTTGCGATCTCAGATCGAACCTTTCGATTTCCAACCTTTCTGTCCTGACTCCCCACCACGCTTCTCCCCAAGCTGAAGACATGAGGTATGTGTGCACTGTCCCCTCTCTTCTCTTCTCTCCTCTCCTCTCTTCTTTTCCCCCCGAGATCCACGCCAGTCCCTGTCTCCAGAATCCGAACCCCGGTCTGGACACAGGTGGGCCATTTGCGTGTGTGCGTGGGTGTGTGCGTGTGCGCGCCCGCGGCGGCTTGTTTGCCTTGTCTCTCTTGGCCCATCCTCCCCATGCTTCCCTGAGGGGTGCCTTGCGACGCTCTGGCCTCTAGGTTGTCTTGCTTTCTCCGCCGACACTCCTCTTTCCTCTCCTCTGCGCTCTGTTGTCTTGCCTTGCTAACCTGCATGCTCGCATCGTGCAGCGCAAATGGCTGCCGCGATTGAGAGTCAGCAGGCTGTTCCTCTGCCACCCGATGGCCATGACGGTTCATCACCATCCACCACCACTCGCATCGTACCCATTCCGACTCCGACCATCCAAACATCTGCCCCCTCGCCGGGAGATCCCATGGAGATCACGACGCCTACCACCGCCGGCGGTCGATCGCCCCCCCATTCGCAAAACGGCACCAGCATCAACGGTGGAAGCAATAACAATAGCAATGGCAACGGCAGCGGCACCCCAGAATCGAGCGCGAAGAACACGTCGCCGGGCGCATCTCAACCTGCTGGCCACATGAGCTCCATGCCAGCCCCGCCGGCTGCTGCGGCGGCGGCTGTGCACCAGCCTAAGATTGTGCAGACGGCCTTCATCCACAAGCTTTACAAGTGAGAATTACGACGGTGCCATGTGGCGTGCTGGTCTGTTGTTAACACGGCTCTAGCATGCTGGAAGACCCAAGTATACAGCACTTGATATCTTGGTCACCCACGGCCGAGAGCTTCGTCATGTCTCCGTCGCCCGATTTCTCTAAAGTTCTTGCGTACGCTCTTACCAGTGTTTTCACAAGTAGACCTACGGATGGACTGACCACTGGGCTAGGCAATACTTCAAACACACCAACATCTCCTCTTTTGTGCGACAGTTGAACATGTATGGCTTCCATAAAGGTCAGTCTGCAGTCTCGCCCGGCCGCCAAGGTATTCGCATGACAACTGACGCGCAGCAACAGTGAGCGATGCATTCCACACAGGCAATCCGGATATGGCACTCTGGGAGTTTAAGCACGGCAACGGGAACTTCAAGAGAGGTGACCTCGTGGGGCTACGAGAGATCAAGCGCCGGGCGTCGCGTCACGCGCTCGTCCACCGCGACTATCCGAACACCAAGCCCAGCACTTCGCAGCCAGGTACACCTGCAGAGCCCATGCCGCCGCCACCTCCAGAAAGTGCCGAGACGAGGGGAGGCAGTGTCGAGCACGCTTTGTACGATCTGAGCATGCGCCTTCAACGAAGCGAGGAGAGTGCGCACTTCATGCACATCAAGCACCAGGCTGTCATGGAAACAATGACACGATTGCTGCAGTTCAATCAGGAACTTTCAAGAGCGGTTTTGGGTCTCGTTCCTGACCAGGGACATCCCGTTTACCGAGACGGCAGGTTACAGCGCTTCCAATGTAGAGTTGCTCCAGCGCTAACTGACTATTTCTAGTCATCAATCTGCAGTCCGAGATGCACCGTCAGGCAGACCTACTCCGGTCTGTCGACGAGCCTGAGCCGCCATTCTCTGCAAGCCGTTCGTACTTTTCCAACATTGAGAACGCTCCCGTCTCTCCACGACAGATGCCCCAAGACGACCCTAGGAGGACCAACCTGACGGTACCCTCGGCACGAGGTCAGGGGAATTTCCATCGACCGCCAATCCCCTCAAACCTGTCCATCAGCACGCAACGACGCTACAGCTCCATCGGATCAAACACTGCGCCGCAATCACCTTCTCCGCTGCGAGGAGCACCGCCACCTCCCCCGCAACCCCACCCGCTCGCGCAGGTTGCGCATTCGGAGATTGATCCGCCTCCGGGAGTCTTGCTCGTCGGCATACCTCGGCAGACATCCGGGCTCCCGGATGGCAAGGCAATCCTCCATTTCCGTCATCCGGACCGCCATCGACACATTGGCCCTCGTCACCAAACCGCATCGCGCCAGAGGATCAGCGCATCCGGGACTCACTTTCAACGTACTCATTGCAGTCCGCCTCCCAGCATCATCCGTCATCGAGGCCGGCAACACCGCCGCCGCCTTCTAACTTTCACAACGGCGGTGGAGGTGGCGTTGGTGGCGGCTCGGATTCCTTCGCTGGTTGGTCATGGAACTCGGCGAGTCGCGGTAGTCTGGCTGTTAAAGACAGCTCGCTTCCTCCCACTCGCCGCGGAAGCATGGCCCACATATTGAACCCCACGGACATCGCTGAACGTGACGATGAGGATGATGACCTCCGCGGCGACGATGACAGGAAACGCAAACGGATGCAGTGATATCGCCTCTCCGCAACCGCTTAGATACGAGCCACTTTGTCTCAAGATTGAGATGCCAGTACATCATGTGACAGTATTGACGATATCACGATGGGTTTGCTTTTAGAATCGGAGCACGTCAAGCTGGAGTCGGCCGACAGGGAACAGGGTGGAACATTAATCATTGACCTGCGCCGGGATGGCACCATCTCGGGCCGGGAAACGAATCACGAAGAGGATATTGCCAATTAATTGCCATGCCCGGCGGATGTCAGCGTCTGCCTGAGGGTTCGCCGAAACGCAAGATGCCGCCCATCAGCCTTTCGCAAACCTTCGTGGCCGGTTCAGCAGTACGTGGGCTGAGGCCATGTAGTCGCTCGCCATTCCCGACGACAGGCTTGACGGGAGATGGTGCTGGCAGTGTACAATATGTTGTCAGTGAGATGGAAGGACTTTCTCATGTACTCGTATATCACGAGGTGATGACTCCGTTGGACGAAGGAGGAGTCGACGGTTTGTAATATTTCTCGTTCCATAGTTGTTGCGCAGGAGTCACTCCTGGGGCGACAAGGAAATTCACACTGCGTGTTGATCTCCATCTGTAGCCTTCGTAGAGTGGTGTCGAATGTGTGATAGAATCGTCGGCGAGAAACTACATTTGGACTTCATGAAGTTGATCCTGAACGTAGACTAAAGGAACTGGCTATTCCGCTTCCGTCTTCGTCTTGTTCTTCGACTTTTTCTTTTTCTTCTTGCTCTGCACCCCATTGTTCATCTCAGCCACGGCTTCCGTCAACATTGGCGGCTCTGCCACGGGTTCGGCCTCGACTTCCGCAACACTGGTCGCCGTGTCCGGCTCTCCATCATCCATGCCCTGATCCCCAGCAGCGTCGCCTTCTCCCTCGTCTCGTACCTCAGCCCGCGGCACAACCCTCGCTCGCTTCCGTCGACCAACCCCGCTTCTGCCCTCGTCATCGTCGCTCTCCTCGACGACGACCCTTCTCCTGGCGTCCTGACCCCGCTGCTGTTGCTCCCTGCCTCTCTTGCCCAGCAATTTCCGTCCGAGCTCCCTCGTCGCCGCGTCCGTCTCCGTCTCGGCCTTGGACGGCCTGTATCCCAACCCTGCATTGACGGGCTCGAAGCGCAGCGCCGCGTCGTCCTCGCGCGCCGCGCGGATCTGGGCCTTTGTCAGGCCGGCGCCGGTGTTCGTCGCGGTTGAAGGGACGGAGAAGCCTGCGCTGGACGCCGCGGTGGAGGATGAGGCGGAGGGGCGCTGAAGGCTCGGGTACTTTGCGCGCATGGATGTGAGGAAGCTGGCTTGCTTGGCCGAGGCGAGGGCGATGCGGTTGTAGATTGTGTTGAAGTCGGTGGTTGTCGGTAGGGGGCCGGAGGATGGGCCTGTGTTCGTGGGAGCCATGGCTGCGGATTGATTTGGGGAACGTTGTTATGTGAGAGGTCCAGCCTCTCGAGTGGCGGAGGTACAGTCGACGACCTTGGATGTCGTTGGGTGGCGGTGTCGCCTGGTTTGGGCGTGCTTGGTGTCTGCACAACGGACTGGAAATTTTGGCGGCCTGTGATCCGATTAGAGCTGGAGATCTTATCGTTGATGGATCGTCCGCTCGGCACATGGTCTGTGCTTTCCCGTGACCCCTCCATCGGGTTCCATGTGGGGCTATTCCTCCAGTGCCGTGGAGCGCGGGGTTCGCAGTGTTGGGCCAACGGCACTCAACGAACCACTGGGCACGGCCATCATTTCCTTGTATGCGATGCCTTCAAAGGCGACTGTCCGGACTCAGTCGAAAGCCAGATACAATGACGTCTCTACGTAACTAATATTGTGATTCGTCCAGTGACATCAGCCACACCAGGGCCTGCAGCTTCATCTTAGTGCCACGTTTCACTACGAATGGCATGTGTCGCAAGCATGAGCAAGGTGAGATATTCCCAGCGACTGTCATTGGCACTTCATTTATCCTGTTTCGATTTACACTTCTCCTTTCTGGCTGAGCCTCTTTGTCGGCCTGGTCACTACGTCTCCGTATTCCGCGACGGGGAAACTGGAAATGAGTGTGCGCCTCCTTGACCTGTGACTTCGGCCATGTGTAGCTCAGGTTCATCTCGTAGTCTGGGAATGGAGTCATAGTACATCTTAGCAACTTTCCATTTGGATCGAAATTCGCCCCTTACATGCCTAGTCTTCCCGCGTGAAACCATGCCCTACAACGTTGCAACTTTGGATCAGCTTGAGAAGGTGCCACAACCGAATCGAGAGTTTCACGAGCGAGCTTGCTTGTCCTACTAACGAATTAATATATTCAAACAAGGAATATTTAGTAAGAACATAGATGCGGGTGAGGTCAGCATCGGAGAACCCAGCCTCAACTCATTGTGTGGCAAAACTCCATGTACCCCAGATGATTTTATCGCAGGGCTTCTGTGAATGATGTGAGTATATTGTAAGCCAAACAACGTGGACCTCGTGCTGTCCCTTTTTAATGCTTATCTATCAGATTTTCCGTCGACTGTTTCAGACTTTCTCCGTACGAGGGAGCTCAGGAGGGGCATGGGACGTGAGCACTGTAATTTGCCACTTGTAGGGGCTACATCTTCATTTAGTATACACGTACAGCTACTGTCTTCACGCCACGTCCATTCAGTATTCGTAGAATGCATGGCATTGACCTGATGGGCTAACATTGTTTGGAGGGTTCTGAGGTTGACTGCCTCATCTAATTGAATCTATAGGCATCGCCTTGTTTCGTGACAAAAGTTACACTTCGCATTGTCTATGCGTCTCGTGGTACACATATAGCCCGACTGACTGTTGCCCTCTACTCTGCAGCGCATTGACTTTCCATACTGCAGTCTATCGCTTCCAAAGTTACTCGTGCCCTCTATTGACGTCGAGAGTATTTTGCAGAAATACAAAGCAACACAGCCGATATCCAGACGTAAGAGGGAGTCCGAAGAAACGAAGCCCCCTGAACACTACGCTGGTGCCTCAGACTGAAGCAGTGAAGCTTGAGGTTGCTAGAGGCTAGCGGGCCTCTGTCCTTGGCGGAAGTTAAGAGATCCTTGGGCTCTGAAGAATGCACCAGAATGTGTATCGTTAGACCTGCCAACAATGCCTCAAGCTGCCTTGCTTACCGCCACGAAAGATCGGGAGCAAGTATTTACACAGGGAAGGCTACGACGCGGGGTTCAAGGCCCTGTTGAGGAATGTTGCTGCCGACGAAAAGTCCATCTTGTCTCTCACGCAGATTGCTCTTTTTACAGCGGGCGTACCGCAGCCTGGCTAGCGTGTTATCGGCATGTTGCTGGTTTATAATGATGCCTAATAGATCATGAGGACTGATGGGCTTCGCTTTGAACAATCCCTGGAAGAGGGCCATCTCGATAAGTAAGCCAGGGGATGAACGCAGCATGATACTCTAGAAGTCCCTACAAAAGGCACGGATATTTTGCACAAGTGATCTTGTGGTCGGAAAAGTTGACGGTTTCTGAACCTCAAGGTGCCTTCCATCCAGCCCCATAAATGAAGTACGGTGTCAATGCTGTGGAAGACTACTTGACTCTAATGACAACCATGTCCCAGCACATCATCGGACTCTTACCGCAAAAATCCATTCATTAAACGTTTTCAACGTGCCTGAAGCGTTTAGTAAAACCCCGGTACAAATATGATTTGAGGTGTGTACCACGATGACTGGTAGGTGCAATTAGAAGCAGATCGCAAGTTGAAGCTCTACGCACGCTCCGGGGCTGCCAGTCGTTTCTCAGCAAAGCCTATAGCTTTGATGCAGTACCTCTCTCTTAGGATCTAGTGAATAGCTGAGGCTGGAGCCAGCTTACCGGCGTGTGAGAGCTGTCATTAAGCCGTCCTAGGGGCCTGACCGTAGCAGGAAGACTGTGAACCGCATTTATAGCTAGTAAGCGCTTGTATAAGACCATCTTCATTACAGCCAAGCTATCGTTGAATTGGTCGAGTGAGGGCTCAGCTCTTGCTCTAATCGACTGACATGTGGCCATTGGAGGGGTCAGAGAGGGGATTCGAAAAGGTTCTCTTTCCGGGGGTGGGTCAGGAAGGCTTGATTTCATCGCACGGATTTCCGTAACGTCAGATCACATCGTGCCCCCCACGGAACAGCTACGTGAGCTGCGCCAACTCCAAACATACCTCGTCAACTGTTGGTGTGCATAGATGCCACAGGCGGCTAGGTTTCACTCCCTCTGCAACCCAGTGATGTAGAGCCTTGATAGTCGTGGTAACCTGCCTCGTAGATAGTTGGCCTCGTAGACAGTTGGCCAACAGGGTGTTCGTGCTATGTCGATGCTGTTGCGACTTGATCCTGAATTCGCGAGAGTCAAGGCGACCTGTTTCAGTGCCCACCGTTGACGATGCCGCACAGATAAGCTTAAGATAGACTCGCATCTGCCAGCACCAGAAATGCAGGGACACGCGATTCCCCACAAATGGCCAGCGGATCCTCCGGAGCTTGGCCATGGTGGGATGCGCCGGCCGACTTCGGATTCGGCATGTCACTGCGATAACCGGTGTTGGAAGGAAGTTTGGTTTCCACTCGGGCGTGAGCATGTGACCAATTCGCCCAATTCTATAGGCTTGTCGTAGATTGCCATTGGGGCTTTACGTATGTTTTTCGGTCGAGCTGCCCTGTTTTGAGGAGGGGCCTGGAAGGGCGCATGGAAGGGCGATGCTGCGAACAGGCAATGGCCCGCATCTTATCCAGCCTCCGGCGCCTCACCTCACCTTGGTCTGACTCTTGCCTCTCGGGATTTCGCGCTGGTATCTGGCGGTAAGACGTTTTGTTGTTGAGAAAAGCATCTCCGATGGCGGATCAGTCCTGACACCCGGACGATCATCCCAATTTCCCTCGGGCCCCCGACCCTAACGACGCATCGGCCATTTCCGCCGCCTGAAGAGGAAGGTTGACAGGGCCATGCACATCATTGCCAATCGCTGGAGCGCCATGATCTTAGCTTGCGGTCGGCACTGGTGTTTGTGGGGTGTGGGTTAAGCTGGCCGAAAAGGGGGGGGCGAGATAACGTGGGACGGCCCCAGCTTCTCACTGGCCTTCAGCTTGATGAGTCGCGGGACGAAACGACACTAGCCGCTCACAGCATCGGCACCTAAACGGCCCAACAGCCAATGAAGAGGGCATCACGCCCGGCGAGCAATGAGGGGTATCGATGGCCGGGACTGCGAATGGCCGGCGATGGTGCACCAAAACAGACTGCACTGCCGGGGGGGTGGGATGCCATCGTGCACTTGCTTCTGGCTCCGATAAGTCGGGTTTCAGGGACGAACAGGAGGGAGCATGCGACGTGCTGCAGAGCTGACTGGCCTTCCCGTTTAATGCCACCAGCTGATGCCGACCCTGGCAGGGAGGCATTATCTCGAACCGTGGCAGATCTTAGGTTCTTCGGGATCGCCCGCTATCTCGTTGAGACTGGCATGTGGTGCTACGCGCCAACTCGAACAGGCATGTCGTGTTCATCAGGCAAGCAATGACTATAAAGCGACGACGATCTCGCTCCCTCTAGTGAACATGTTCCTAGAATCAAGCCTCCAGCCTCAAGCCTCACAGTCACTCTTCGCCTCGCTCCGCCTCTCGATCAGCATCATGAAGTTCTCCTTCTCGCTCTCCGCCCTCCTTGCCGGCACTGCCGTGCTCGCGAGCCCTGTTCCCGTTCCTGCGCCTGTGAGTCTCGAACAGACCTCGACATCCCCGAAGCTTGGTCATGGGCCCCTCAGCTAATGCGAGACCTCCAGCCTGGAATCCCCAGCGCCGCTACAGCCCGGACCCAGCTTGCCGGTCTGACTGTTGCCGCTCTGGGTCCTCAGACCGGATACAGCCGTGATCTTTTCCCTCACTGGCACACTGTTTCTGGCGCTTGCAACACAAGGTACTACTTACGCCCCGCTCGTCCCACCTTTCTTGATCGTGGATCGAGGACAAGGCCTTTTGCATGAAGCTTTACTGACATTTGAACAGAGAGACGGTGCTGATCCGTGACGGTACCAACGTTGTGACGAGCTCCGCCTGCGCCTCCACCTCTGGCACCTGGGTCAGCCCCTTCGACGGTGCCAGGTGGACTGCTGCGTCCGACGTTGACATTGACCACATGGTCCCCCTGTCCAACGCCTGGAAGGTACGTGACCTAGACCCCTGTCCCGGACGAGTGACGAGGAACCTCATCTGTCTCTTCATGCTTTGCCCGCGGCGTTCTTCCCCACCCTAGAACAAGATGTGCTGACTATTCTCCAGTCTGGTGCTGCTTCTTGGACGACGGCCCGTCGTGAGGCCTTCGCCAACGATCTCACCCGCCCCCAGCTTTGGGCCGTCACCGATGACGTTAACCAGGCCAAGGGCGACAAGAGCCCCGATGCCTGGAAGCCCCCCCTGACCAGCTTCTACTGCACCTACGCCCGCAGCTGGGTCGCCGTCAAGAGCTACTGGGCCCTCACCATCACGTCGGCGGAGAAGACGGCGCTGACTTCCATGCTCAACACCTGCTAGATGTTGGTTGAGTACGTGAGAAGGGAGGACTGTTAGGGTACAAAAGCGTGGAAGTACATCGATGTTTGTTGAGCGGCTATATTTCTACTCCAATACGGGAGCATCACAGGACTGTCCTAGCTTCAATCTTCAGGGTTCCGAAGTTCCACCGCTGGTTCTTTGAGCGAATATATAGGAAAAGGCAAATTTGTACTTACACGAAAGCAATCGTATCATGAATCTTGGCAATTTCTTTTGGATCAATATTCGCGGTGAATTGGTCAAGAAAGCATCTCAGATCGTGGAGTTTTCACGACCTGTTATGCAATTTGTGATGTTGCTGGTGTAACTTTGTCAGTGTCTGATCGCGGGTTCCATCGAGTATGGTTCAAGGTAGCTGGTATCATCGCTCGGGTATGATGACGTGTTGCGCTGGATTGTTCCATTCACCTCTGGTGTCAACTCGTCGAATATTTGGATTGCCTTGCTGCGAAACTGACCAAAAGTCTAGCAGCTGTGGCAGTGGTGAAGGGAGTGGAGGCTTTGTCTCTACAGTTTCCTCTCATGTTACGCAGGTCTGGTGGAAATATAGCCGACTTCTTATACACCATTAACCTTGGATAAACACTTCTCCTCATGTTCTTTGGCTGAGCTAACCCGACGAAGTGGACGAACTTCTAAGACATCGCCATACAGTACGGGTAAAAGCTATGTGTTTTATTGCCCTGGTACCGAAATAGACTGCTTTACGCGCGCGTTTGTTAGACCAATCACAAAGCTGTACACGTCCTGATACCCTTCATTGTAGGTACGCACTATTTCATCAAGGTGACAATCATCGAAAGTCCCGGGTTTCGTCTTTATGGAGCGGGGATTGTTCGCTCGGAAGTGCACCCAAGGTTTTTCTTCTTCTTTTTTCCCCCGGAATCTCACCGGCGTTGCAGGAGCTGTCAAACAACCCCGCATCTCGGTGAAGACCTCCCAAACCACCAGTTTTGGGCAACACCTCTCGAGTGCAGTCATGACCGCCTCCCCTCCACCCACACCACCGTCAGGGCCAGTGAGGGATGACGAGCTAAGATTTCACAGCATCAATTCGCCGTGTGAATGGATTGAAGACTACCGCCCCGGTGGTTACCACCCTGTCCATCTCGGCGACATCTTCAAGGATGGCCAATACCAGGTCATCCGGAAGCTCGGCGACGGCTCCTACTCAACCGTCTGGTTGGCCCGAGACCTGAGGTACTGCAATCTCCTCCCACTAACCTGTAGATCATCATAACTCATCTTTCTTCAGCAGACGTAGATATGTCGCCATGAAGATTCTCGTTTCAGACGTATCGGCATCCACATTCGAGGTTCACATTTTGCGCCAGATCAACGACGTCGCACGAGCACAAGGGGCTCGGCATGTCACACAGCTGCTAGATGAATTCGAGCATAGCGGACCTAATGGCATCCATAAATGTCTTGTATTCGAGCCTATGGGCCCTAGTGTAAACTCGATGGTCGAAGAGCTGCCGCAATTCAACCCGCGCAAGTGGGGTATGAAAGTCCGATATCCGCCACAGATGGCCAGGAGTATCCTCAAACAGTCTCTGCAGGGCTTGGAGTTTCTTCATGGTCACGGCATCGCTCACGGGGACTTCCAACCGGGAAAAATACTCTTTGCCCTCAATAACATCGATTCGGAGCCCGAGGATGAGCTCCGTCAAAAGGAAGATGTACAAGCCATGTCGATCTCGGATACGGTACGGAGATTGGATGGTAAAGAAGACAAGTGGGCGCCTCGTTATCTTTGCGTTGGGCAGCCACTGGTCCGCTTCACCACCTATACCGAAGGCTTCAAGATCAAACTATCCGACATGGGTGGAGGTCAGTAACAGCTTTCATTTCTGTCTCGATCTTCATTGCCTTAAAAGAAGCTCATCACGCTTGACAGCATAATTTATTTACGAATCCGCCAAAAGAAGCCTCTTGTTCGCTGGGCCTCCGAGCTCCCGAGTTGATACTTGGCGGCGGACGCAACAATACCCTTGACGTTTGGAGTTTCGGCTGCCTTATCTTTGAGCTGGTTACCGGACAGCCCCTCTTCTGCATTCCAGGATCGGACTTTGAAGATGACGATCATATCCTCGCACTCACTGAAAGGCTCGGCCCCCTTCCCGATGAGCTCTTCCAACAGTGGAAAACTTCTTCATTGTACTTTACACCGGAAAGGAAGCTCTACAATTGTCAGCTCGGAGGAGTACCTCAAGGGAAACAGCCGCTTCTATTGCAACAGACATCCATGGAGGACTTGTTCGATCAGGCGGGCCCGGAAATTGATGGGGAGGAAAGCCGTCAAGTGAAGGCACTCATCCGACGGATTCTTCAGTATGACCCCATGAGAAGACCTTCGCCTACAGAAATTCTTGAGGATCCCTGGATGCGTGAGAGCGGCTCGTTCTAGTCCTACTGTATTGGAATCATACTTCCGTATTTCATGCCAGCCTCGAGATGACAAGGGCCATCATCCTAGGTAGTCCGTTTCCGGTCTCAGCACGGAACCCCGTGTGAAGCTCACAGCTTCTTCTCAACAATTTGCTGCTACCGCGGCTGTTTCACTAGCTGCCGTTGCCTCTGTTGTCTTTCTCGTTGACCGATGTATGTAGCTTTGCAAACTTTGGTATGGTTTTATACTGTTGTTATGGCTTTGACTTGCACAACCTTCTTCATCTTAGGAGGAATGTCTCGAGGCCCACAACTTGGCCGCCCGGGCACCTCCATTCTACTTACCATTTCAGAGTGCCATCGTTCAAAGAATGTGTTCTTCTCGATCTGACCTTCCGCAATGTAGTTCAGGCCTGGCCGCGCCAATAACTCATGAGCGGAGAGATAGACCTTGGTCGCTAGAAGAGACAAATCCAGGAGTGAGCCTGCGCTATCTACCCTATTCAAAAGAGAACTCAAGAACGGATTCTATGTACGTAAGCCAGGAAACCCATGGAACAGACATTATTGAATTGCCCAGGTTCGCGATATCAACAGCCTTGCCAGGCGACATAAGATCGTCTTGCTCCAAGTTCTCCAAGTCAATCCTGGGCAGCCTTCGCGACTAAGTTGCGCCTCCATGCCTCAGACTACGCATACTGGCTCTTACATAGAGGCCGGATCTCCAAGAACTGATGTCAACTATTACAAGCACAAGCAAATGATGAGCTGCATGATCATCGGCCATTATGACTCTTTGTAGCCCTGCAATAGATACACTTGTCGCAAGCTCGTAGCATGAGTTCCTGAAACCCCCTGTTTGATCTTCATTCGACTGGATTCTCTGTTGGGATAGACCAAATACTTTGCAGGCTCCGATGTCATCCTATGCATAGCGGTCCAGTCTGGTCCGCGAAGTCCCTTAATGACAAGACCGACTTGAATCAGTCAGTGGGCGGCTTTGGTAGGGCGTGTCAGCCCGTCCCACTAACCCCAGATAATGCGGGGGGGAGGGGGGACGACAGTAGCACAATGTCTGCGGGACTTAGGTCTGGGAAGGGTGAGGGCCGATGTAGGTGAAATGATAAAAAGGATGGACCTGGACCTCTATCTTTTATGTTTGTAGATCGATAGACAGTAGGCCTCAACTGAGAGTCCACTATTGCAATTTTCTTTCTTCACGCCGTGCTTTTTGCCATTCTTCAGACAGACTCCACCAGCAAGGCCGACGCTAGGGACGCTGCCGCCATGGCTCCCACGCCAGTCCCATACATGTCACAAGGCCCGAATGACATTGAGAAGTAGAGAGTGCTCTATGCTGAGCGCATAAATTTGATTGCGCCTGACGACGAGAAGTTTTAACTCGGCGCAACGGACTACTCTGGCGCCGCGGCCAAGACCGGCCCCGAGGACATCCGACTGGTGGAGAAGCTTGACCGATGGATCATGGTGAGTATTCTGGACAAAGTCATTAGTTGAAGTCACTCTCACTAACCCCTCCAGCCCACCCTCTGGGTTATGTACTGGCTCAACTACCTCGACCGCAATGCCATCGCCGACGCCCGCCTGAACTACATTGAAGAGGACCTGAACATCGCGAGAGTTCAGTACTCCACCTCCGTCTCAATTCTCTTCGTCGGCTACATCTTCGGACAGATCCCGGGCAACACGATGCTCACTCGGGTCAAGCCGAGCTTCTACATGGGCGGCTTCATGATGACCTGGGCCGTGGTCAGCTGCCTGACGGCGCTCGTCAAGGACTACGTCGGCCTCGTGCTGACGCCCTTCTTCCTCAGCGTGGTCGAGGCGCCGTACTATCCCGGCGCCCTGTACATCTTGAGTATCTTCTACACGAGGAAGGAGCTCGCGACAAGGATTCGCATCCTTGACTCGGAGAACATCCTCGCCACGCCCTTTGTGGGGCTGATTGCCGCCGGTGTGTTTGAGGGGCTGGATGACGTTGCTGGTCTGTCTGGCTGGCGCTGGCTGTTCATCTTCCAGGGCATTGTGACTTTCGTCGTGGCGGCTACTTCCTGCTTCACGCTGAGCCGCATCGAGAAGGACACTGTGGGCCACAAGGCGGTCACGAGCCCTTTGATCGGTCTCAAGGAAGCGATTGTAGACCTCGAGGTGTGGGTGTTTATCTACATGCAGCACATGCATCTGGTATACCACTGCTGACACCACACAGGACGGCTTCAAGAACTTCTTCCTCACCATCGTCAACACCCTCGGCTTCGACACGACCATCACCCTCGTGCTGACCTGCCCGCCATACCTAATCGCCGGCATCATCTCTGTCGGCTGGGCATGCTCGTCGGGCCGCTTCCACGAGCGGACGTGGCTCGTCACCGCCGCAAAGTCCACCGGCCTCGTCGGCTTCATCCTCGCCTGCGCCACCACGAACACGGGCGCGCGGTAATTTTCCATGTGTGTCTTCATAACTGGCACCTATATGGTCAACAGCATCCTGCTCGGCTGGGTTGGCAGCACGTGCGGGTCGACCAAGGAGAAGCGGGTGAGCGCGCTGACCGTGGTGAACACGAGTGCTAGTTTCAGCTTCATCTGGACGCCAGTGAGTTTCCCTCCCCTATGGCTGTTGATTGTGTGGTTTTCTAATGGGTGTAGTACCTCTGGCCGAAGAACGATGTGCCGCGCTGTGTCATCCCAATGGCGAGCTCGGCGGCATTTTGCGCTGCTTGCGCTGCTGGAGCGTTGGTCGTGAGGTGGATCTGATGCGCGAGGATAAGAAAATTCGTCAGAGGGACTTGGAGGCTGTTTTGTTCTATGCTTACTGAGAGCGGCTTCGTTTCAGCTCAGGAGATAACTTCATAATAGCGTCGTCTCATAGTCTTGGGTTCTGTGAGGCGGCTTTCCGGCTTGTCGGCTTTCCAGCCGCCGGGTCATTTCGTGACGCAACTTTCCAATGGTATGGAATCACGCTTCAGAGAACTGATCTAGTGGTGAGAGAGCAATAAAAAGAATAGGCTTTATATGACCGTATCTACGTTAGGGAAAACAACAGGTTACTCCTCTAACGCTGTACCAATACTCGACGAGTCTATTCTAGGCTGGTCATGTCTCAAGAACAGCGGTTCGCGGAATGAATCAGTCATTCCCAAGGTAGTATACGGAAGTAGGGCTACAGCATGGTAAGACCTCGGTCTCAAGCGGTTCTCTTCGCGACTCATGCCATTCTTTAGTCTCCCTCCTGGAGTCTCTCGAAGAGACCGAATGGTCAGAATAATGAGGCGTCCAGAAGCCTTGCATAGGAGATCAGGATTTCAAAAGGTATCGCCTCATCGAAAGCGGAAATGCCTCCTATAAACAAGCCAAGCCCATTTCCGGCGGCTTATAGATAGAGTACCAGTATTCGAGGTCGTTCAGTTGTTCGTAGAGACTTGTCGTGACCGTGTAATCCGCCGTAATCCTGATCCAATCCCCTGCACCATCCTGGTTTCCCTCCTCCGCGACCTCTTCCGAATCCGGCTCTAGTGGCCATCCGTGCACAAGACCAAGAGTGCGGTTGCGTAAACTTTGTTCGTCGACCATGATGAAGAACTCATGCCTCGAGTCTCGGGATACGTCTCTCCCCTCGTCAAAATGGTATCCCTCGCTTGCGCGCGCCCAAGCCTGGAAGTAGTGCTGCAGCTGCGTAACCGTGGCGCCTTCAAGGGCAGGGTCCTCGATAAAGACGAAATCCATCGTTTTCGCGATAGAGGGCGTGTCGGATCTAGCGATATCCTTACAAAGCTCGTCTACGATATGGCTCTTGATTTCCTGCCAGCGCGGGTCGAATTCTTTTGCGTAACAGCTCCGATAGACGACCCAGCCCCATTTTCTGTCGCCTTCTGATCGAATCCTTGCTTCAGGTGAGAGGAGATCCCACTCCTCGAGACTCATGGGTTCAAGCCCTCCGTTTGGAATGGGCTGTAGCGACGATGGTGACAATGAGGATGTGAACGGTTGATGGTGGTAGCATGCAGGGTATGTTGAATGCGAGGTTGGTCGGTGAGCTCCTGATGGTCGATAGGTGGTCAGGAGCGAAGACTGCGAAGAGATTGCTCGATTGGAAGGTAATTGATTCAGATGATGACGATTATGGATTAATCTTGCGATGAATCGCGATGGCTGAGCTTTCGGCTGCATGGGGGGCGGGTAAGTCACCGTTGCTTGCGGGATGTAATGCACATATAACAGATGATTGGGGACCAACGACCTTTTTGGGGTTTTCTTTACTAAGAAGTCCCGCCCGTCACTGGTCGAGTCTGAGGTGGCTGAAGGGACAAGGGGCCCCTGTTGCTGTCTTCCACCACCTAGGCAGTGAAGGACGCCCACTGTACGTGAAGAAGGCGGCCCGTTGCCGTCATGGCCCTGGGTAGGAAAGAAGGTCATCTGTCGACAACAAGGTTCGAGCACGTACTCTGGAGGGCAAAATGCAGCGGAGGTCAGGAGGTATTCAATATCAGAGTTGAGCAAATTATTTGGCTTCAAAAGTGTAACCAGCAAACAGCCAACAGCCTTATGAGGAGGCAACCCACTGCTATGATTCCTCTAAATGAGAAGGATATTTCCAGTTTGGAAGATCGTCATAACCTCCTTCAAACCTACCTAGACGGAACAAGTTTCGAATCTATACATATATTGATTGTCGGCGCTTCGAATGACCGGGATTTGGTTCATAGTTTCATAGTTCTTTGTCACTAAATCTTGGCTGCAATCGCCTGCTTCCTACATTGAGCTATCTAGAGAACCGGAAACCGTGTGTGTCCATGAAAGAAGCGAGGACTACGAAGTAAGAAGCTTATGCAGAGGTGCCCTTCCGCGGCAGCTGACAGTCTGAAATCTGCAGCTACCGATTCGCTTTGAGACGTGGACATCGGGTTTGAGCGGTGAGTGGGAACTGACGAAAAGAGAAAATGTTAACCAATGTTAAGCCAAGGAGGTGGGACCACATCAGGGGATGGAAGGAGGCACATGAATGCCCGCGAACCAAGCCTCAACCAGACCAGACGCCTTAAGATACAAGGCACTGCTAACGTATATATATCTGCCGTTTTCGACGCTATAACGTCCGCAGCAGGTCCCACGATGCCAAATTGTATGTATATATAATAAGAACTGCCCTACTCTATATCTTGCGTACTTCTCATATTACGGTAGGATTCAAGTGCTCTTATTTGCCTAGCCATCGGAAGCTCCCTGGACGGAGAGCGCAACCCGATGATCTGACATCACATGAAAAGGTATCCGACAACTTTGATGATCAACTCCCACACAGGTCATCCCACGTTTATAGAACGATACGGAAATGGACGCTCCTACAGATCGAGCTCAGTACAACGGGTGAGTGTCTTCTGTTGTCGTTCTAATGGTATCTGCGTAGTTACGCGAGCATATCTTCATTGAGGCTACTTATCAAACCTTGAACTTTAGGGATACGCCTCGCACACTTACAGAGGCCGATCGCCAGGCGGATGCACAGTGCAGACAACAACGTGTTACCGCCTTCCTTCAGGACGCTGCCGGGCCCTGGAACCCTACGTGGTACATGCTACAAGACCCATCAGCTCAGGGCGTTTTGGCCAATCCTCAGGTACTGAATTGCTTCCGTTCTTGTGTTCTCATTCGTATGACTGTCGATTGAAACATGATCCATGGCCATACATGCCTCCACCAACTGAGATACCTTACCTAAGGCACATGTCCTCAACCCTTTCCAGAGCCACCCCTCACCCTACCAGCTCCGCGCGCTGCCTGTGGGCATGACAGAGACCAACGACGAAATTGGACATTGGTGGAGGCATACTGTTTAACGAGAAACCCGCGCTGATTAATTGTGGCGCGTGAAGAGACAGTCTGGACACTCAAATGCGCGAAATGACAGCGCCGCAATGCACGACAAATCCCCCCCAAAGCCCAAGGGTTCGGGCCCAAATTAACGATGGGTACACTAAGATCGGGGGTAACCAAGGCTTCGTTCAGTGGCCTGGCCCCGCCGCGGCAGCCCCTGCCGGCAGCTTGCCGTGTCCTCACAATGACCTCACCAGCCAGGGCCCATAGGGCTTTGTATTGTGCTGCAATGCCGCCGCCCACCATCACACATCACCCGCCTGCCCATCGCCCAATCGGCAAGAACCCCCGACGAGGCAACAAAGCTAGTGGGGCCGGTCCTACACCCCCATCACGACCCCCCGGACGTCCAGGGGAGTATAAGTAGCCCACGTCCCTCGCCAACGGGCTACACCATCTCTACAGTGAATTCAGACTCTCTCGAAATCGCACGAAGTCCTTCTCACGGCCATCTTCGCAGTAGCAGCACGCTCGTCCGAAGAACAAAACCCAAGGGCGCACGATTCAGACCTGGCCAAAACGGCCCCACGACATCATCTACAACAGAGGGCAGCCTGTCAAGCTCAGCTCTTATCGGTTTTCAAGCCCGCGTTCAGTCGTTACTGCCGACCTGATATCGAACACCTCTTGTTTCCCGAGCAGACGGGAAATCCTCTTTTCGTCGAATTTGCCCCACCATCGCAATCTTCAAAACTAAAGCTTTCTACATATATATCCAGGGTCGGGGTGGGGGGGAGAGGAGCGAGGAGAAAAAATACAAGCTGGCACAAGAATGGATACACCAGCAGGAAGAGGCCATGAAGCATCGTTACGAACTACAGGATCCCGCCACGATACACGTCATTCCACCATTTCCAGAACCAAAATTTGAAGCTTTTCATATTCCATAATATCTCTGCAAAGTCACACGGATCACAACCATAATCTTCCGCGCGCAACCTTCATGCTGCTTCGTGTTGCCCCTCGACCGCTGTTGTACAGTACCGCTGCCCACCGCGTGAGTCTGCGATCGAGTACTGCGCATCTCAGCCTTCCCATCGGAGCTCTTGACTGACTAGGACCTGTGCTCCCGAACGGTATCCCGGAATCCCTTTATGGACCGGCCTCCCTCGGCCTGTAGAGGCCTCAAGACTGGACGACAACTCTAAGCCCGTTCGTAGCGCGGTTGAGATCTCTCCTATATGCAGTTCGTTTTTTTGCATTCTCAAAAATTCCACCAACTTGATTGAAGTCAGCCCATACCTTCGACTCAGGATTTTGGCTCGTCACGGGCGAGAGACGCCCAGCGCGTCAAGCTTTTGCATGTAATGACCCGAGGAATCGCTCCTGTGTTAGGAATTGCGCACTGACCCGCCTGTCGGCAATCCAGCCGCTCTCAGTGAGCTTATCCCGGTGAGGCTCTGGCAATCGGCGATGGCGCAACTCCAGCGATAAAGGACTGCCATGTTGTCGAGAACAGTCGGATAGAAGTGGCTCCATGTGATGAAACAAGTCTGTCCCATTTGCCGCTCGAAGGACGCAATGCCACAAACACGTCGCCTGGCCGAATATTCCTTACTTGTCTAGTTCCGGGTAATTATTCCTTTCCAGTATTGTAACCCCTGCGCTAAAGGGTCTTCGATGAGCGGGTGGCTCATGAAACCAACTGCTCTTCGTAACGAATATCTAGTCTTGAGCGTGGTGTTGGAAGCAGGTTGTCGATCGATGGCGATGGTCAGCGGCTGTGAGTTGAGCTAAAGGTCATCACCTTCCAAATTCTGATCCATATCTAAGAGAGATGCGTTAGTATCCAGCAGCCAAATGCGCGTGTTTTGTTTCCTTTCGGTGCCTGGTGATACCAAGAAGTTTTCACTAGATTTCTCGAAGGGCGAGGTTTGTAAAGGCGGAGACAGAACTAATTGTTTCGCAACCTCCTCATCTGCATAGTGTCGAATAAAAGAGACACAGATATCGTGACAATTATTCAATTTTCCTGAACACTCATGGCTTTTCTTAGAGACAGGGACGGTTGTCTCGGGTTTCCACTCTCCAAAGGGAAATAAACTTACCGTACTTCCCCACGGACGTATCTCTCTCAAAACCTTGGCAGGACTTACGACCCCCAAGGAACCAGGCAAGACGTCTGCAAATGCATCCACTGTAGTTCGCATGTACAGGTGTCGACCCAGACGTAGCCGATGTCATCATGCGAAGCACGCCGACATGCTGTAAGAACCATACGCAAGCCGGGTCTCCGAGCAACTTGCGGAGCTTGGAAACCTTTCTGATAGTCGTCGAAGACGAACTCGTCTTCTCCCTCAGTATGAGATAGGATCGCATACAGCGGCGGATGGCCCATCAAGTATTCAAGGCCAAGTGCCTAGATGTTGATCAGCCTCATGGCTGGATCTGTTCGTGGTCGCAAAGAAGACGTCGAGGTTCGTTGATGGTGACAGATTTGGCCCACCATCTGACAAACGAAAGCCAACTGATCTGCAAATGTGTCCTCAAGCACGTCGGCAAAGCATTCTGAAAACGTGGGAGATCAGTTTTGGACTGAGGCTGAGCAGCATGGCTATATATGCCCAGGAGCGGGGTCGATCAGTGCACATGCCTATCAGGCTGCATGTCTTGACAGGATGCAGAAAGGATGAGACAGCCTTCTCGATACACAGCTTAGTAAGAACATGCGAATTATCATTAGATTTCTACCCATGAAACAAAAACAAAATTCCCCGTGGGACCATAAAACGCCATGCCATCGCCATGCGTAAGAAGCAAATCATGTAGAACTTTAACGCGAATCCACCATGGTCAACACGTACGGCAAGTCTGTAGCATCCGCCCTCCCTGCGAGACGGATGACGGACGCCCCAGAGCTTTGTGACACCTTCGAACGGAGACTAGCGTTGGAAGGGGAATGGTGCACCTGCCGCCTCTGCGCGAAGCTGCTCATACTGGACGAGTGAGAAAGTGCACCCGTCGAGCGCGCCTGGAGTGTGGACGGTGCGGTGCGGTACTGGTGCCACGTGGCGGCCGAAGAATTCCGTGGTGGCAAATTCACACGCAATCGTGAGCTAGACGTGGTGCGCGACGAGATGCTTCGTGGCGTTGACGGGTTCGTAATATGAGGATCATCATCCCCAATGTCGCTCTCGAAAGGGGCTTGCGCTTCCTCGTCAAATTCTGGTTCAGGGTCGAGAATCGAGGGATCGAACAACCTCATGCTGCGAAGAAGCTGCGCAAAGAGTTGCATCGTGTCACGGAACTGCGAATTAGTCAAGGGGCGATTGGAGAAACGCGCGTATTCGTACAGGGTAAGGAATTCAACTGTCGTGGCGTCCATCGATAAGACGCCTAGTTCAGAGAGGTGATTAAGGTATTGTCGTAGACCTAGGTTGTAGGGTCGTTCAAGAAGAGCCATGGCATCAGGGTCGAGCATGGGCGGCTCGGCTGTGGACTCAGGAATCGGCGGCGCAAGCGTAAGCGCTTTCGCCTCGATGAGGTTTGGCAGCTCGGACAACACAGTGCTGTACTGCAAATCGGGAAGGTCGAGGGATTCCGGCGATGACCATCCCCGATGCTCAATCTCACCCCAGACGGGCAGTCGCGGCGCGACAGACATCCCAAGCGTTTCTTCGACCTCCTCTCTCTTGCGCAGTTTCAGCAGCTGGAGGTCCTGTTTGGTACACTCTTCGCGCTTCTCCGACATGTTCGAGACTGCGGACTGCGAGTCGTCCATGACCTTGGGGATGATTCGCGGCCTTGACTCGAACTGGATAATGGCGCTACGGTCCAACGCGGCCGTGACCATCTCGAACACCTGTTTGGGCACATCTCCCTTTTCAATCGGAACCCATGACTTCGGTATTGACGCAAGGATGGTCTTGTTATTGTACAGTCGTAGCGCATAGATGAAGGAGACGATGATGAGGATACCGACGAGGGCGGCAGCGACGAACCAGATGTTGTACCATTGGTTGTTCTCGTAGGCTTGATAGATTGTATCGCCAGGAGTGACGAGAAGCAGGCAGACGAGGAGTGTGCAGAGGACGAAGTAGAAACTTCCGTAAATGAATCGGAAGATGGCGCGAGCTGACACCATCTCTCCAAGGTGTCAGCACCCGGGTCGGGCGCCGATCCAGAAGCGGGCGGTCTTCTGCGTAGAACTAGGTCGCGATCGTAAATCGGTTCAATCGTTCAAGGTCTGGCGTTGGTCGAGTGCAGGGCATGGCTGCTTTGGGCGACGCAAAGAGGTTGACGAGACAGCTTCGGAGGTAGGCTGCGCAGCAAGATCAACATTACATGAAGGGCGTTCTGAAGACGGCGCCCGAAGCGAGGCGAAGGTACTGTACAGAGGAGGTTGAGGAGGTTAGCGCAGGTGGGAGAAGTTATGATGGTCGAGCTGCTCGCGGAAGCTTGGGCTTGACAATGTCATTTACCAAGGTGGGGCTCAACGTCGTCACCCGAATTTCAAGCAACAAGGGTCGACGTAGGTACCGGAAAATGGCCTAAACCACACCACAGGCCCAAACCTTAAGATGCTCATCACGTACTTTTCTCTTTTTGATACAGGCCATAATACATTATTCGAAACCAAGCAGGGCACTTGCATGCTTTTGAGATGCAGTCCTCTTTCCCGTTTATTTGGGGACTTCCCGCATCGCCGGTTCCTCGTCCCTTTTAGCCAGTACTCCCTCTGTAGGCTCCATCGCTTCTTTGGCAAGCCTTATATCCGTCCTCGTCAACCGCAGGTCGCGGATGTACGGCTCAAATTCTTGGACAACCTGCGACAGGCCGGCCTTGAGGGCCTTGATAACCTCATCCACCTCTGGAGTGCTCTTACTCCCTTCCACATCAGTCCAATGAACTGGGAAGCTGGCCTTGAAGGCCTCAAGTCTCTTGATGACCGCAGTGAACGTGCGCACTATAGGGCCAATGTCCTTGTGTACGTTGCCAAATTTGTCCTCTGTCAAACTGTGCACAGCCATTGCGCTCAGGATCTCAATGGCGTTGAGGTGATGGCTCAGTTCGGAGTATGGAGAACCCAACACGGCAGCTGTCAACAACCTTCGGAAATCCTGTCGGAACCACCAGCCAATGTAATCGGCGCGGAGGACTGGAGTCGCCAGAGCCTGGAACTGGCTCACGACTTGCGGGGAAGTCAGTGCCTCTTGTTGCTCCTTTGTGAGCACCCTGTCCCGCGCGTTGCGGAATGTCTTCTTGGCAATGGGGCTAAGCTGAGAAACCGGCGAGTGGCCCGGCGCCTGTGTGGCCTGGGTCAGCGTCTTTTCGATCTCACCCCGCATAGATCTGGACCCTGGCCTCGCCTGGAAGATAGGATCATCCTTCGGCGGCGCAAGACTCCTAGGCTTTTGCTCTACCACAGGTTCCGGCTGGGCAACCGGGGCAGGGGGAGGCTTCCCATAGTTGTCTACCCTCTGCTCCAGTCCCTTGACAATGTCGAGACAGATGACAAAGACCTGGGACCACATGGGGCCGTCTTTACGGTCAATGTCTTCGAAGATCGCCTTGCGTCGAAGCTCAAAGTCGCGCGCGATATGCGCAAGCTCCCATAGAGCAAAGCACTGTACCACAAGTCAGTTGAAATTTCACAAGCTAATCTGAGAACGTGACCTACCCTGATGGGCATCTTCTTGCTCTTAAGACCATTCAGCAGGCTACCGTTGGGGTCCTTCGACTCGTTTGTTAAGGGGTTGCCATTCTTCAGGGGCGCCTTAACCATGAACCTTGAAAACGCATAGTTTCCGATTTCCCATGTGCAAGACAGGAGGACGCCAGCCCACAGGCACTGCATGAGTGTTGTGCCTTTGAACCAGGGCCAGTCGACGGGTAGCATGTTGGACTTGGGAAGGTTGTTGAAGGGGCGGAAGAACGCCATGGCCCAGCTCCACGCAGCTCCACGGAAGATGGTGCTGTACAGGGTTACGGCGAGGCCGTATACGCCGATGGCGCGCATGACGGCGTTGGCAACGACACCGGGTAGCTTGGCCAGGAGAACGGTCAGTGGTGTGGTTGAAGTGGCGCCGCCGTTGATGACAGGGCTCTTCCTCGCTTTGTTGACGTCGATTGTGATACGATCAGTGTCGCAGATGATATGCATGATCGCCTGGAAGGTGGCGGCCACGAGGAGGTAGAAGGAGAGGAAGACGGGCCGCTCATTAAGTCGTCCCCGGTCGCCGCTCATAGTCGAGATCCAGTTCAGTTTCGAGTCCGCCGATGCCGACCAGAGAAAGACGAGGCCGAAGAGAGCGCTCGAAATGGTATAGGCGACCCATGCTTCGAGAGCCTGGATCGTGATCAAATTGGGAAGAGCGCCACCAATGGCGGATGTAGAGGCGCGCGCGCCAACATGGTATTGCGATATACGAAGGATAATGATAGTGAGTGCGGAGGCGAAGAGAAAGAGTGCTCGTATGCCCACGGGGCCGATGGGGAACCAAGACCACAGAACTATCATAATGTTAGTTGTAGTCAGGACTGGGATCTTTTCCTGCAAAGCTTACAAGAATTCCACTGGCTCAAGAGGATAGCTTGGATGTAGACCAGGGCCAAAAGAAGAGTAGAGGTTGTGGAAAATCGCCTGTGCAGAGCAGGCTGCAAAAAGTCCTTATAAGGAGCTCTCCTCACGACGGCAGCAGCCATGGCGACTGGGCATCCTTGGGGGGAGCGTTGGTGGAGGGAGTCGAGAGGCGGTGGCTCGCCGTTGATGGGGTCGAGGTTGTCAATAAAAATATCCTAGCAACCACTGGAACATCAACAGGTGCGGTAGGTACCTGCTCACGGTGCTGCAAAAGAACCTGGTCGCAGCGCGACGACGCCAGGTACAGATTCGGGGTCCACAAGAGCTTAGTCACGTGGTGATAGCGGTGGGATGTGATGCGCCGTGGTGCCTGTTCCTGGCTCGATCTCCGCAGTTACGTACCTTATCGCCTCACCTGACACCATCAAGGCAGCCGGTTCGCGATTGATCCAACTACCAGTTTACTGCATCACTACCATCAGCGACTGTCCTTTGACTGCAACCCTGAGCGCATTGCCGTTTTTCGCTTCAGAAAACATCGCCTGACGATCGATTTTCAACACTATGTCGTTCGACCAGCTCTCATCGCTCGAGTCTGGCTCGGGTCGCCGGGGGAATTACACCGATGATCCCGAGTTCAAGCAGCTCCAGTCTGAGTTGATGAACAAGCTCCACAGCCTCCGGCGCAATATTTCCAAGCTCAGCTCTGACATTGATCTCCTCGGCACGAAGCGTGACACCCCGCGCGTCAGGGAGCGGGTTCATGAACTTCTCGAGAAGTCGAGGGAGTTGTGCAAGGATATCGGACAGGGCGTGAAGAAGCTGCAGACCTGGGAGGATCTTACAGTACGTTGCGCTATGTGTCTAGGTCGTGCGTACAACCGGCTAACATACAACCTGCAGAAACAACAGAAGTACGACCAGTCCCGCGTCTCAACCGATTTCCAAAACGCCCTCCAAGAGTTTCAAGACGTCCAGCGCCGGGCTCTCGAGAAGGAGCGCGCCTCGGTCACGGCCGCCCGTGCCGCTCACGACGACAACGCCGACGGCTCCGGAGCGCCGCAGGAGGGGCAGCTCGAGCAGCAGCAGCAGCAGGAGCTTGTGCGCCTGGCATCGCAGGACGAGGTCGACTTCCAGGAGGCGCTCATCATTGAGCGCGAGGACGAGATTCGCAACATCGAGCAGGGTGTCGGCGACCTCAACGTGCTGTTCCGCCAGGTAGCGCAGATTGTCGGCGAGCAAGGCGAACAGCTGACATCCATCGAGGACAACATCGTCAACGTTCGGGATGACACACACGGGGCGCAGGTTGAGCTGGCGCAGGCTTCGAGGCATCAGAAGGCGGCGAGGAACAAGGGCTGCTGTCTGATGCTTATTCTGTCAATCATCTTGCTTATTGTACTACTTGCAATTTTCTTGGATTAGCATGCTCTGTCGTCTGGCGATGTCATGGCTCGAGGGATTGGACTTTTGCTTCTCTGCTGGCGTTCATAGGTGTTTACATTGTTGTACAGCAGGGCCTTATTCTACATACACATGTTCCTAAATGCAATTTTCATCTTACAGAATTTAGCACCGGCTACACCTTCGGCGGGACTTCCTTCTGCTGTGCTGGGGCCTGGTGTTTATCCAGTGGCATGTAACGCTCGACAAGTGCCGCATTGATGTGGCCAAAGGTCGCTGACGATACCCAGTAGACAAACATGCCAGATGGGAGGTTCATCGCCGCCATTGGCAACAGAAGTGAAGCGACAAAGGCTGATCTTCGCAGTCGCCACCTCCAACCTGACGTTTCAAGAGAGGACGACTCCTTGTTAGAAAGGTTGAACATGGCAGCTCGCCCAGCCGCAGTCTTGGGGATCCAGGTGTAACAGAGCAGGCCCGCCATTGCCATAGGGAGCAGACCATATGGGTCGGGCGCTGACAGATCCGGAAACCATAGGATGCCGCCTGTCGTCATGCTTGGTTCAATCTGAGTAGCAGCTGTTTGCAAAGACTCGAGAACGCCTGTGGACGGTGCGTTACCCGCGCTGCCGAGAACGGGCTCAGCTGTGAAGTTATCTGATTCACCTGGTGCAGCAATGGCCGCTTGCTGAGCGGGCGCAGTGCTCAACTCGGGGTGTCCATTCTTATAGTTTCCAGTGATGAGAGACAAGATACCGCCACTCGCGCCACTCAGCCGTCGAATGGCTTCGGGGACGAGGAGCCATGGTGGAATGCTGAACAGAGTAACCCAGATCTTCCAACTCTGCACGCCTCGCTCTCGGTAGATACGTCGTAGGGTCTTTCCTTGCTGTATTGCGACATAGGGCCCCTTATGAACGTTGAGATGCCGAGCTCTCCAGGAAGAGGTAAAGGATAATAGTTTTCTCTGGCCGAGGATGATTTTCCTGCTGTAAATCTGTAGTGGAAGACGCAGGGTGAGTGTGAAGCCTAGAGCGAAGGCAGGAATGGCGAGCCACCAGGGGAGACCGATAGTTGAGTGAAGTGAAATGAGGGCATCTTGTGCGAGTTGCACAGAGCTATTCACAGCGGTGCCAAAGGAAAGTTGGCGCGTCTCATGTCTGGTGAGAAGCGATGAGACCAGAAGTTCATGTCGAGTCGTTGGGCGAGATGGCGACAGAAAGGGTTGTCTCGTGAGACCCAGGGGCGAAGATGGCCCCGTTGACCGTGTCAGAAGACGAAAGGCGCCTCTAGTTGGAAGCATCCTGGGCCATGTGGAGGCAGCCTCTCGATGGGTCAGATGTCGAGACCAAGTGACGGACCATGAATGTGTGATGATGGCAACCTCACATGCAAGCTTCAAGCCATTGGGACGGGTGCACGGGCCCTGTCAATGCAGTACGTACCGCAGTGAAAGTCAGGCACCCTCAGGGGTGGGGTGTGCGCCAAAGGACCCTCAAGACCCCTGCTGAAGGTTACCCCCAGTGGCAGCAGGAAGTACCACTTGTCCTTGTTCACTGGAGGGCAGGTACAACGACGTCAACGGCTCTGGAGGTGCAGCTTAGTGCGTCTGACGATCTTCTTCCCACCTTCACCGGCTGACGGGTTCACACAGCCACCTCTCCTTCTTGCCTGCCATTACCAGCCTCGACGAAGCTCGAGATCTCTTCGTAATCCACACAGTTCACCTCACGGCCGTGGCCGTGTTACAGTAGAATCCACGGAAGCTCCGACATCACCCACCGTCGTCCCCGCGATGGCGGACACCTCTGAGGCGGGGCACTCTGCCTCGCCCGATACCTCGACATCGGGCCACTCAACCGCCCTCTGGGCTGTGACTGTGGTAGCCGCCCTACCCATTCTCGCCTTGTTCGTCATTCCTCTTCTCGCGAGAGGCCTTGGTGCTGTTGCCGGCAGCTATCTCCGCACCAAGACTGAAGGCAGGCGCGCCCAGTTGATCAAAGCCATGGCCACCGAAGAGAACACCTATAAAGAAAAGGGGATCACGACTCCAAAGGGAATTATCAAGATCGACAAGGTGGAAGATTGGAGCGGCATCGTTGGCTTCTTCCACCCTTTCTGGTGCGTAGCGAACTACTTCTTGACGAGCATTTCTGCGTACCGAAACCGACGACTAACAGACTACAGCAACGCTGGAGGCGGAGGCGAAAGAGTCCTTTGGTCAGCCGTTCGCGCTACCCAGCAGAAGTGGCCTAAAGCGCTCTGCGTTATCTACACCACTGACCAGAAGGTTAACAAGACGGAGATGGTGACTCTCGCCAAGGTATGTCACACGATGCATCATGTACCCCGTATGACTCTGTCTAATCAGCATCGACCAACAGCGTAGGTTCAACATCGATATCCACCCTCCCAGTCTTGTTCTCATGTACCTGAGTACCAAGCACCTTGTCCTCGCCTCGACCTGGACTCACTTTACCCTGCTCGGCCAGTCTCTTGGATCCATGGTCATGGCCTGGGATGCTTTCCAGCTGCTGGTGCCCGATGTTCTGGTTGACACCATGGGATATGCATTCGTGCTCGGACTTTCTAAGCTCCTCTTCCCCACCATCCCTACCGGCGCCTATGTCCACTACCCGACCATCTCAACTGATATGCTTGAGTCTCTCGACCCTAAGTCCGCAAATGGTAGCCAGGGCATCAACGCCGGCAAAGGTGTGGGGTTGCGTGGTCAGGCCAAGCGCGCATACTGGAAGCTGTTTGCAGAGCTTTATTCGCGAGTCGGTTCGACCATTGATGTCGTCATGACCAACTCGACCTGGACTCAGGGCCACATAGCAGCTCTCTGGGGCCCTCACCGTAGCGTCAAGAGCGATCCTATTGCCGTCGTCTACCCACCCTGTCCTGTTGAAGAGCTCGCACGCGATATCGAAGTATCCGAGGCCAGCGAAGCGCAGCGTCAGAAGGTCATCATCTACATCGCCCAATTCCGGCCAGAAAAGAACCACCAGCTCATCCTGCAATCATTTGCCGAGTTCCTCAAGACAGAGACCCAGGCTACCAAGGATGTCCGTCTTGTCCTCGTGGGTAGTGTCCGGGACGACATTGACTCCAAGCGTGTTTACCAGCTTAGACTGCTGGTGAATGAGCTTGGTATCAAGAGTCAGGTGAGCTTCCATCTGGATGCTACCTGGGAAGAGATTCTTGTCTGGCTTCAGAAGGCATATGTCGGCGTTAACGGCATGTGGAATGAGCACTTCGGCATTGGATGCGTCGAGTACCAGGCCGCTGGTGTCATCTCGGTGGTGCATGCCAGCGGCGGACCGAAGCTTGACATCAATGTTGATATTGATGGCGAGCCTACTGGTGAGTTGCGGGATTCCCTCTAGATTTGGCCAACAGCACTGACAATTCTAGGTTTCCACGCTTCGACTTCCACCGAGTTTGCGGCAGGTTTTGAGCAGGCTTTGACCGTCAAGGATCCCTTAGCCTTCCGACTACGGGCTGTCAAGTCAGCACAGCGCTTCACGGAGCAGGCATTTGTTGATAGCTGGAACAAGCACCTAGAAACGCTTCTTGCTAAGCTTCGGTAAGCCGCTGCAGTGTTTGTGTGTTGACTTGGACCAGTGAGGTTTGAGCCCTTTGCTTCTGACTGCAGCAAGAATTTTCTCATATTCAGGGACAGCGCCAAGCATGGTCGCAGCGTACATTATCTCGGTGTTTTCTTTCCTTTTTTCCTTTGGTTGGAAAAGGGTTTTCGAATCTGGATGGCCCTGCATAGATGGGCCTTTATATCCGGCATCAAAGCCATGGCTTGCTAGATAAGGTTTGTTTGTGTATTTGCTTTTGGGGTACTAGGCAAATCGCCCCGTTTTCGGTTTCTTCCCTGGTCATGCGTAGACTTCAACGATACCCCTTCCCTTTTGGTAGCGGACAAGAAACGAATGAAATCAAATGGCTCTCGTATGTTGATGATGCGCTCTATGACATGTCTATAGTCTTGCCACGTTGCAATACCCTCTCTTTCCATCATGCAGTCAATCCGCCGCTGTTCTTCTGCCGTGGCTCGCTCGCCGCCTCAAACCTGCCGCTTCCCAGCACCGTAATCCCCTGGACAGCACTGAGCCCCTCGCGGACCCATTTGATCTGGTGTCCCTTGTCCGCGAGGCTCGCGGCCGTCTCGTTGTTGAAGGTGTACTCCAGCCACACCTCATTCGGCATGAGCTGGTCGTGCAGCCTCGGCTCCGCCACGGCCTCCGTCATGGTCATGCCGTGCTCGAGCACATGCCAGAGCACCTGCGCCGTGGCGCTGACGATCCTCGACCCGCCGGCAGCGCCGACAACGGCACGCAGCCCACCGTCCGGCGCCTCGACGATGACGGGCGTGATGGACGACAAGGACCTCTTGCCGGGACGGATGAAGTTGGCGGGGCTCGGCTCGAAGCCAAAGGCGTTGCGGACGCCGGGGATGGAGAAGTCGTTCATCTCGTTGTTGAGGACGACGCCCGTGCGCGGGTCCACGAGCAGGGCGCCGAAGAGGAGGTTCACCGTCGACGTCAGGGAGACGGCGCGGCCGGCGCTGTCGGCCGTGACGACGTGCGAGGTGCCGTGCGTGTCGGGGACGAAGAGGGCGTGCGGAGCGTAGTGGTCCACGGGTTGCGTCTCGTTGTCGGAGATGCGGGCGCGGGTGTGGGCGGCTGTCGCGTCGTCGATGAGGGAGGCCTCGTAGGGGCCCAGGCCGCGGACGAAGTCCGGGTCGCCGAGGAGGGAGCGCGCGCCGTAGGCGAAGCGCATGGCTTCGTTGTAGCGGTGCGTTGTGAGGTTCGTGTCGGGCGTCGGCGGCAGGGGGTACTGTTCCATCGTCTTGAGCATGTTGAGCGTTATGGGCCGCTGGCGGGGGGCGCCGGTCGTGTAGAGAGTGTGGTTACGGAACGTCGTCGACAGGGGCTCGCGGCTCTCAACCCGGTACGCGCTGAGGTCTTCTAGGGTCATGATGCCGTCTGCGTCGCGGACTGTCTTCACAAACGAGGCGGCGAGTTCGCCTGTGTAAAATACCGATGCGCCCTTCTTCGCTACTGTGGTGAGAGTACTGCTTCAGTTAGACTCGTGGTGGATTAGAGCGTGTAGATGAGGCTCACTCGGCAAGTCGTGTTCTGTACATAGTGTCGCCTACACCGAGGAGCGTTCCTGAATACAATTTCACTGTCAGCATGTGCACAGGTTGGGATTTTCGAGCAGGCTCACCGTTCGGTGCAAAGACCTCAGCCCAGCTTGGTTCATCAATGAGGAAGTCTCTCCCCGCGTCCTTCATCCCTGCCACCATGTATCGACTCATATCAGCTGTCACAGAAAAGCCTTCCCTGGCTAGGTGAGAAGCAGGCATCACGACAGACTCCCAGGCGAGATCCTGAGCGTCCTTATCAGCGAAGCTCAGCAGTAATGGCTTGTGGGGAACTTACACCCCATTTCTCATGCATGTACTCAAGCCCTCGCAGCTCGCTGGGGACTCCAACCGCCAGGCCACCTTCGATGCTCGCACGTACATCATCGTTGTACATGTCTTGGGTCGCAGCGGCCGGCGCCGTTTCCCTAAAGTCGATGGTCTCATATCTGCCATCCGCAGTTCTGACGAGAGCGAAACCACCGCCTCCGATGCCGGAGTGGTACATGGAGGTGACGCCGACGCACAGTTGCGTGCCAACCATGGCGTCTATAGCGTTGCCCTGAGAGGTTCAGTTCAGCATGCCATCCGTGCCACGTCGTGACAGAAAACGTCGTGACAGAAAACGTCGTGACAGAAAACGTCGTGACAGGAAACATCGTGACAGGAAACTTACACCCTGGCGGAGGAGATCGCGTCCGATCCTGCTACACTCCATGTTCTCGCTCGCTACGGCTCCAGCACCATCTTGGGCTGTGAGCACGACCTGATCAGAAGAGAAGGGGATGGCAGAGGACCCAGTCATCCAGATGAAGGAGCCGTAGAGCAGCCATTGAGGCCGGATTTTGGAGCCAAAAGAGTCTAGATTTAGGTGTCAATCAGCATCCCTCTGGACGAGTGGGTGACATACACATTTCGCCGTCTCGGCTCAGTGACTCTTGCCCCTTGATAAACGGATCCGCTTTTGAGATAGGGAGCTGAGAAAGACGGCGAGAGGCGCTGAGTTGCGAAACGGTGGACGTGAGATTTCCCGTGATTTTCCTGCAACCAGAATATCTGGAATGGGAGGTTTGTGACTCGAGTCAAGCAAGAGGCGGAAAGAGTCTCGAGACATGGCTGCCAGTGTGGATGTGGCCGATGATGGCATCGGAGTTGACCCGACGCCGGTCGATAAGCCGGACCAAGTGATCGGCTCAAGTGACTGTGGAGGATGCATGTCATTGGCCGATTCGCCCTTCTTTCCAGCCAATGAACCATCCCTGCACATAGGCAATTCGAACCAATGATGTGCTGTTTATTTAGAATCGTAGATTGACTTTATGTGGACCTCGACATCTTCACGATGAGTTTTCTAACCTTCTGCCAGCATTGAGAATACGACCGAACGTTGTTCTTTTCTTCGCTGCATGCTAATGGTCGATCGAAGGGACCAATTCGAACTTTAAATCAGCAGCCTTGCGGACGGGGCATACTCATGCGGTTCCTCGCCCGGTTTGCACCTTCACTTCGACATCCACTACTGAGCCGGCCTCATCTACTCTCACCAGCATTTCGCATAATGGCGTCGCCTATCACGACCTTGCAGCAGGCCGAGCAAATCCAGACACAAGCGCAGCCTCACTCACAGACACCACCTCGGCCACAAAATGTCAACGGCAAGCGGCCAGCTTTTCAGTCTCGCGCAAAGGGTAAGAAGCAGAGGACCAAGAGAGAACGATCGATGAAGGAGGGCTCATCAGAGGAGGTTCTGCTTGCTGATATTCAAGCACTCGTCAAGGCCCGCCAGGAGTCGGCGCCTTCAACTTCGGACGAGGAGACGTCGCCTCTGCCCGAGCAGTGGTCCGAGATTGATGTCGAAATCCTCGAACTCTCTTCCACGGGTGACGGCCTCGGTGTTCAAGTCGGCTCATCCAACCCTCAGATCTACGTCGTCTCGTTCGTTGCGCCAGGCGACGTCGCCCGTGTCAAGGTCGTCCGCCATGTTCTCGAGGACGGCTACACCGCCACCGACTACCTCTCCGTCATCACGCCCTCGCCTATGCGCGACGACTCTCGTGTCTCTTGCAAGTACTTCACCCAGTGCTCCGGCTGCCAGTTCCAGATGCTCGACTATGCCGACCAACTGCGGCACAAGCGCTCCATCGTCGTCAAGGCTTTCAAGAACTTCTCCCAGCTGGCCCCCGAACTGGTGCCCACGATCGGCGACACCATTGGCAGCCCGCTGCAGTACGGCTACCGCACCAAGCTGACGCCGCACTTTGACGGCCCCCCCGGCAGCTGGCGCAAGGGCAAGCAGAGGGCCCCGTTCACCACAATGCCGCCCATCGGCTTCAACGTCAAGGGCCGTCGCGCCGTTCTCGACATTGAGGACTGTCCCATCGGCACCCAGGCCGTGCGAAACGGCATGAAGAAGGAGCGCGAGCGCATCGAGGGCGAATACGCCACCCGGAACCACGGCGCCACCTTGCTCCTGCGCGAGAGCACAAAGCGCTACCCCAAGGGCGGCGACGAGCAGCCGCCGGACGCGCTGCCCGAGGGCGCCGTGCGCGTCGACACGGACGCCTACACCGACATCAAGACGTGCGCCACCGACAACAAGGCCATGACCTCGGAGTACATTGACGACTTCCTCTTCACGAACCCCGCCGGCTCCTTCTTCCAGAACAACAACTCGATCCTGTCGCCCTTCACCGACTACGTCCGCCAGCACGTGCTGCCGCCCGCCGCGCTCGCCGCGGCCCCCGGCGCGAAGCCCATCCGGTATCTCATCGATGCCTACTCCGGCTCCGGCCTCTTCACCATCACGCTGTCCGGCATCTTCAAGACGAGCATGGGCATCGACATTGCCGCCGACTCGATCGCCTCGGCGCGCAAGAACGCCCTGCTCAACAGCTTCACGGAGGACCAGTGCACCTTTCTCGCCGCCGACGCCCCCGAGCTCTTCAAGCACGTCAGGTACGACCCCGACGAGACGGTCGTCATCCTCGACCCGCCGCGCAAGGGCTGCGACGCCAGCTTCCTGGGCCAGCTGCTGGATTTCGGCCCGAGGCGCGTCGTCTACGTCAGCTGCAACGTGCACACGCAGGCACGGGACGTCGGTGTCCTCGTGCGCGGAGAGGTGGAGGGTCAGAAGAAGAGGACGAGGTACGAGATTGAGAGTCTGAGGGGCTTCGACTTTTTCCCCCAGACGGGTCACGTCGAGGGCGTGGCCGTGCTGAACCGTGTCGAGAATGTATAACCGATAGTGGCGTGTAAGAAAGAAAAAAAAACAGGTTCAGGTTGTAATGAAAAAGGCACCAAGTGCCAAGCTTCTCCTTCGGAAATACGTCACGAACGACGGGACTCGATTGAGACGTTGGACAGAGCAGATTGCGCTTGAGACACGGCTGCTGTGGTTCCCATACCGGACATTCCCGCCTTCCGGCTTCCGAGCTGCTCCACCAAGTAGTGTCCCGACTTATTGTTGAAGAAGAGAGCGCTGTGAAGCGTGCCAACCAGGTCTTCAGTCAGCTTTGAAGTGGCACAGAGCTCCCGTGTCCTACGGCGGCGAAGCTGCCTGCTACCTCAGGATAAGGCTAAGGGGTAAAAACATCTACTGATTCAGCCATAATGAAGGAGCGTCTAGGTATGAATATTCTTCGTGTTATGTTCTACTGTCTGTAGTCTTAAGTCATAAAACGGATCGTGAAGTCATGCCTACTGCGTGTGCCCTTTGTAACACGACTATGAGCGACCGTCCTCGAGAAGCACTTTCAGGGCCTCCACAGCAATCTCAACGACATCTGCTCGTCGGCTCTTCTTTGCCGCCTCCTTCAAAATCTCCAAGCCGTTTGCTGCATTGATCTTTTCACGTGCCAGCACGCCAACTCGTCCCTCCGTCGCTGCCATGTGATAGACGACATGGCAGGCGCAATATCGCACATTCTCGCTTTCGTCTGCGACCATGCCCAACACAACTTCAACTCCACGTTCGCGTTCAACAATGGCGCGAACGACATTCTCATGACCCGTGAGCTGCGCCAGAGCGCCACCGGCCGCAACTCGCGTTTTCTCGTCTTCAGCATCGGCCAGTGCAAGCAGAATGTGCATTCGTTGCTTCGCCTGGGGGCTTCCATCGACATAATGCGTCGCTCCCTCTGGTCCCTGAACAAGATTGCAAACAAGTTCGACCGCGGCTCTGGAAATCAAGGTTTTCGACGAGAGCAACAACTCCTCGATATCCGACCACGCGGAACGAACAATGGCGCGGCGACAATCGCCATCGTTGGAGGCGAGGTTGGTAAGAGCGAGGAGAGACTCAAATGTCGGCAAAAGGTCGCGAGTCTCAGCGGCTGCATCCGGAGCCAGGATAGAAAGCAACGGCCGTACTGCTGAGCTTTGTGGGTGGGATCGATTGCCACCAAATACAAGACTGGGATCAGTGCTGATTAGGATGCGAGCGAGTGCATGAGCTGCGACGCGACGAGTCGCCGATTCCGTCTCAGGAAGAGCGAGCCAAGCAGTCAACAAGAGCTTGACGGCGCCTTGTTGGGCAATCTGGCCTCGCAGCGGTGCTGTGACAGAAATCGAATTGATGATGGCTATCATAAGCGCAAGAGATGCCGGCGAGCCGACCTTGCTGCGGGATACGAGAACTGGGACGACACCGGCGTCGAAGACCAGCTTGCAGCGTGCCGCAACATGAGTATCGTCGTTCAGGGGCTCGGTTTCGATCTTGCCTGCGGCGTTCGCGTATGCCTTGAGCTGGTGCATTTTCTTCTGTTCCTCGGAGAGATTGGGTTGGTACCTCGTCAGGTTGATGAGGATGCTAAGTGCGCCATATGTCAGAGGTGACCTAGGCTGGGCTTCTGCCAGCGTTGAAATGAGCTTTTTCAGGAAATCCTTGTTGCGGACCAAGTCTTCCTTGACCTTGGGCTGCAACGACGCATAAGCCAAACCTTCAATCGAGTGCTGTGTTCCATAATCGTCGTCGCTTAGTAGCATTCCCGTAAACCTGGAGGACAATTCTTCAATGGTAGTGATTGCCGGCGTGATCCTCTCTTCTTTTCCCTGATCATTCAGCGAGGGTGCCGAGGGCACTGCCTTCAGTCTGAAGTCAGTCAGATCTTACTGGATAAATCGCCTTGCGAGGGCGATGCGGAAACATAGCGTTCGGGGTACCATACTCTCAGTTTGGCTAGAATGACGGCGGCAAGGTTCTGCACGCCCTCAGAGTGCCTGCGCATGGTGACGGAGCCCTCCTGGGACAGATACTCTGGGTTCTGTTGCATCTCCTTGACGACCTCGTTGGGATCCTGGTCGACGACCTCCTCGAGCCACTCGGTGCAGTACTTCTGAACGGCGTCGCGACACTGCGAGTTCATGCAGGCTGCGTTCAGCATCTCAAGGCATGCCGTCTCAACCTTGCGGCTCTTCCACTTGCGCCTCATCAAGGGACCCAATGTGCCGAGGAAGCCTTCGCTGAGGAAGAGGGATGCGGTCAAATCCGGAGCGATGGGAAAGGCAGCGGCGGCAACGCAGAAAGCCGCAATGTAATCGTCGTAGGTACCGCGGCGTACTTTGTCGAAGAAAAAGGTGGATAGCTTGGCGCCTCCTTCGTCGCCGGCGGCCTTGAGATAGGCGGCGACCGTCATGACAGCATGACCGCGAACGACATCTGCTTGCCTCATGTCGAGGTAAGAGAATACTGTGTCGACGCATTCAGCGTCAAGAAGCGAGCAGATTGACGTGGCATTCTTTTCGACGACAGCAAGCTGCGTGTCGTCGTTCAGGAGCTTGGTGAGCTGGTCGAGATCCTGAACGGTTTCATCGTCCTCACGACCTCCCTCCATTAATCGCGCAAGCAGGAGAAGCGTCTCGTCCTCCCTCGATTGCTCGACCTTGGGCGGCAGAGCCTGGGACACAGCTGCCATGGCGTGAGGCGGGCGGCTCGGATTGCGTGAGATAGTGGTGGCGGGGTGGTGTTGGTTGGGAAGTGAGTGAGGGGTCTGGGCGCGGCGAATATTTGGTGTGGAAGTAGCGCAGCACAGCACTATGGAAACACGGAGGCGGCTGAGAAGCAACAGCGATGTAGCGCAGACCTATCTGGTAGGTCTCGGTACTCGAGATACGGTATTGATTTGGAAATGAAGGGAGAAAGGGGGAGGAGGAGTGAGGAACAAAAAAGGTGCGCTCGTGTCTTGTCGAGTAAGTACCTAAGGTAGGTAGGCAAAGAAAAAGGGCAAGATAGGACGTTGGGTCGGAGACGATTGGGAAGGAGCTCCTCCCATATCTCGAGGTACTTACAAATGGAACGTTATGGCACGGTACTTCGCGCGAAGCTATCTGTGGCTCCAAAAAGAGGCGTTGCTCAGGGCATGATCCAATGAGAGGGGCAGGTGCTGGACTTCACGCGCCTGCCTGGTCTCTCACTTTCAGCTGATCGGGCCTTTCACCGTCGCCCCAAACAAACCTGCCACGGAGCCCTGACAAGGACCCCTCTAGTCCCCTACCTTAGCACCTAAGTACAGGCCTCAAGGGCTATCACGTGCATGGGCGCTATTTCCGGGCCGCTGCTAGCAGTGCCTCCAGGACGCTTCAGGTCTTTCAACCCCTGCAATCAAGTGCAATTGGTACCTGGTTTGCTGGCAGCAGGATGGTGAGGCCACAAGTACCTCAGACGCGCAGTGTCACTGACCATGACGCGACATCCGCCGCCGGAAGGGCTTCGCTCAGGCTTCTGGAACACACTGACCCTCAAGGTCAGCGTCCCTCGTCCGAGCTGTAGAAATCGGTTCCAGATGATCTATAATTGATGAACATCCAAAATTGTCCTTCTTGTGTGATAGGAAGTGGACGAAGGCATATGGCCACATCTGTGCTTGGTCATCCCGAGTGTGCATCAAAATCGACAGTACATGGCTAGAGCCTGCCTTGTGCCTACGTCCAAGACGTCATGGCAACACAAGGGAATCAACCATGAGCATGCGTCTTTCCCCATTTGGCACCTGCCGATTATCTATCTTTCCATGTGCACGGACCAACTACGAAACCTCACCACATGCTTCCATTCGTAAAGTGAATCTCTGTCGGCAGCAATTGCTGTGCCCATGTCTACGACCTCCAACCGCATTCGTACAAGGGCATTTGGCAGGTCATCAATCCTGTAGATCCATTCTCCGGATCTCGCATTTCGTTCTTCCACTCTCTGTAGGCCCAGTAGTGCCGTGTTCACGACCCTATGTCCATGCAACTTCGGTAACAAGGCTCCAACCAGGGCCACCTGCAGCCTCGCCCACAATGAACCAGATCGATGCCTCAGACCATTACGAGGTGGCAAACACGGGAGAGACGGCTTCTTTGTGCACTGTCATTCTCGATGTCAATCCTCGAGCCTGGAGTGCCCTGTCCGACGTCCTCCCCATCTCCAAGGCTCTCTCCAATGTTCTCATCTACCTCAACGCCAACCTTGCCTTCAGCAACACCAACCAAGTCGCCGTCATCGCCTCCCATACGAACCGCGCAGTATGGCTCTACCCAACGAAGTCTGAACCCTCGAACACGCCCTCGACAGACGGCGATGTCGCCATGAGCGATGCGCCACCGAAGAAGGCGAAGGTCCCCTCTGCGAATAAGTTCACACAGTTTGCCCAAGTCGAAGATGCCGTCCTGCGCAGCCTGAAGAAGCTCCTTGACGAGACCACCGAAGCCGACCTAGACTGCACGACGACACAGCTTTCCGGCGCCCTGACCCTCGCCCTCGCGCACATCAACAAGGTCAACCTCTCCTACACAGCCTCCCTCTCCTCCGACACGGCCAAACCCATGACAACCGCCGCGCCAGGCCTCTCCTCCCACATCCTCGTCGTCTCCGTCTCCGACTCGGATCCCTCACAATACATATCCACCATGAACGCCGTCTTCGCAGCAGCCCACGCCTCCATCCCCATCGACGTCCTTTCCCTCTCGCCGGCCACGGCGAAACAGACGGCGGCCGCCCAAACGACGGACCCAAACGACCCCCACAAGTCCGCCTCCTCCTCGTCCTTCCTCCAGCAGGCGTCTCACATCACAAACGGCACCTTTCTCGAGCCGCCCTCCCCGCTGGGTCTGCTCGCCTACCTGACCTTTGGCCTCGCAGTCGCCGATACCCGCGCCCGCGCCGCTCTCGTGCCACCGACCCACCACACCGTCGATTTCCGCGCCGCCTGCTTCTGCCACGGCCGCGTCATCGACACGGGCTTCGTCTGCTCCGTCTGTCTCAGCATCTTCTGCTCCGTTCCCGAGGGCGCCGACTGTCTGACGTGCGGCACCCACCTCGCCCTCGGCCACTACGGCGCCAAGCCCGCCGTCGTACCGCGGAAGAAGAAAAAGCGGAAGAAGCAGCTACTGCCGAACGGGAGCATCAGAGAGGTCTCGGGGACGCCCGTGGCCGGCGGCACACCCATGCGTTGAGCGTTGCTAGGTTTCATCCTTGGCGCTCTTAAATTGAGCTACATTCATCTGTAGGCCAGTACCCATGGCGTGGCTGGCTGTCAGGGATGCCACGAAGGAAGTGTAAGATTGAAGGAGTACGGGTTCAGCAAGGTCGGGGCACGGCGGTCCTCGGGACGTTTACGATAGATGGATAACTCAGATGCCACATGGCGTAGGCTGAGGAGCTTGTATAATGAATTTGAATAGCATAACGGACAGATTCCGTCCAACACAATTGGCGTGGTCTCCAGATCCGTGGTTCACCATTCAAAATCTGGTGGTGCTTCTTGTAGGATTCTTGTTTCTGCTCGGGTGTCGATAATGAAATGTCTAGGGAAAGCCCAAAGTGTTTGGACAAAGGTAGGTAGTGTACACATCGCCCCATTCATCATTCACCATCCGCAGATCTACCCTCCGACAGAAATCTTGCGCGCCCCACGGGTCACCTGCTCGGTATTACCAAGCCGGGACATGACACATTGAGGCTCCTTGTCGGCACCGCCCATGGAAGCCAGCGCGAAGGAATCAGTGTTGTGTGCAAAATAGAGGTAGTACCCAGTGCGCGTCTTCTTCACCGTCATGACCCCAATCGCTCCCACAGAATTGCAATTCCGGACACCTGGGTGTCCCATGAAATCATTGGAGATGAAAGACTCCATAATGAGGTCCTCGTCGTCTTCTTGAACATCCCGGCCGTGCACACCGCGGCGCGTACCGCTGTAAATTCGCTCGGCGCACCTCTGAGATGCCATGGTGGTCGCCATGTGCTCACCTGTGCCGCTGGTGACGGTTGCAACGGAGATGCCTTCGGGATCGCTTGGATCGCTGGGAACAACGGCAGTGCCAATGCCCACCAAAGCGGCCGGACCAAGCCGCCCGCAGTGCTTCATGCCGATACCGCCTGACGAGGAACCAGCGGCGATATGACCTGCATCATCAATGGCGATGGCACCAATAGTGTCAGTGATCATGTCCAGCGGCGGTGAGTCATCGTCTGCATCCTGTGGAAAGGGGAATGGTCGCTTAGAACCACGAGGGCTATTGAGGAGTCGTGTCGCTGTCTGACCAACATCCATCTGAGCTGACACTACCAAAGGTTGCGGAGATCTCCCACCATCGCGGTGTCCCCTAAGCGCGGGGTGCGAAGATGGCACAGGCGGATTTCCGTGACTGGCACCAGGGTGATGGCGTTTGGGAGAAGTTGCCGCCCCCTGCGTCGCGCCGACATAACTCAGAGGGCTCCTCTCGCCTGGTGATGGTGATACACGGGATAGACCATGGCCAGGAACTGAAGGAATCGAAAACTGGCCGTGGGCTTTTTCAAGGGCCGGAGAACCGCGGTATGGCGAGTCAGGCTGGCCTTCGTTCCATGTACCAGTAAGGATTGCGTTGGCATGATCTCTTTGCTGAGAACTCCCGGTACGGGCTTGGTCGCTTGCGACATTCGATCCAGTCTCATACTGGAGGCAAGAAGCGACGTCAGTGACGGAATCACTCGCGCCTTGAGCTCGACAGGACTCATCCTGCTTCAGCTTCTCTTCCGCTCGCAGGAGATCGTCCTGCCATCGAAGGAAACGATCCCGAGCATTTTTGGAAATCAAGCTGTCATTGGGCACCGTCTGCATGCCATGCTCTGAGGCAAACCCCTTGGCTCCTGCTCCGACAAGGATGTTTGGCGGAACCCGTCTTAAAGTCAAAGGTTGGTTGCTTTTGTCGAGTATAAGCTTTGCTAAACAAATAGGATTTCGAACATCTGCAAAGGCATTAGCGATTTACCATATCAACTTGGCATAGCCTGACTTACTCGGCGCAGCTCCGCACGCACCACTTCGTCCAAGATAGTCGACAATAGTGGCATCGCACTCTACTGTTCCCTCTATGGACAGGTTGGAGCCATAGCCAGCGTTGGTGATTTCTTTGTCTTCTAGGACACGGAGAGCAGCTTCAACAGCCTCAGTAGCCGATGCACCAGATCTGAGAAACTTCATGCCCATAGTTGCTGCGCTGGGTCGTGGCGTCAGTTCGAATTCGAAAGGTCCTACAAAGATTAGGGTGAAAGCTTACTCATTACAAGCTTCGAGGTGAACTCGCTCGTTCTGATGGCTGTGGAACCCGGCGCCGGCGTGGATGAATATAGCCCCCGTAAATTTGCTGCGCTGCCCTCGTCTTAAGACCCGATCTACAGTGCCATCAGTGCCTCCTGGTGGGCTTTTTAAGCTGTTGGCAGCAGTCAACTGGACTTTTCGAGGTCTTTCAACGCGTAAAGACGGCTGTTCGCTCCTGGTTTCGGTGATCCGTGGCAACTCATCTTGCATACGCTCCACCGGCAGAGCGGCATTCTTGACTGGGGTTAGCGTCGGGTCGTGATGTATTGCATGTCGAAAGTGTCGGCTGTTCAGGATAGATCCGAGGAAGCTCTGTTGGAGGTCTCCACGAGTACTAGACCGGCCCTGAACGGCTGTATCCTCAAGGATCGCTTGCTGGTCGATGGCAGGAGAGGATTCTGGAGTAGCCGTGCCGTTGATACTACAAGGCTCCTGAAACAAGTCTAAACGGCAAGACTGGTCAGCAAGCCGTGGCCGTATGCTGGAGTCGTCAGTCATCGGGTCGGTATGGTCACAGTCTATTGTATCTCCCACAGGTCGACTGGAACTTTCGCAGCTAGAGCCGCTTTGTGATCTAATTGGCTGATGCCCGGAACCAGTCTTGACATTCGAGGCGCTATTGTCTGGGTGACTTGGCCATCTGTCTTCGACTTGCTCTGCCTGATCACTCATTATGCCAGACGGGCAAGCGTTATGTCGATAGGCTTGACGGGTGACTTGACTGGGTATGCTGCATGCAGCGGTGAGCAAGTCTAGTAGGCTTGTCTCTCTAGTTAGGCTGTTTTGGCGGTGTGCGATCGTGTGTTGACAACGGGCTGGTGCTGATAGTAGCAGCAGCAAGGCGTTCGAAAAGTCATAAACAACGTCCAATCGGTAGTTTATGACTTGCAAAACCGAAACTGAGACGTGACTTGCCCGGCATGGGACGGTCGATATAAATGAATGCAGAGTAATAAACTACTCGGAGTTGTTTTTGAGCGGGGCTGCCAATATGGATTTCGTTGTCGGACAGCCCAAGGTGGGAGAAATAATTAGAAGATATATGCGGAGGTTGTTGGACACTGGACTCCAAGAGGTGTCTCCCAGGTAGAAAGCATGCCGTACTGGCGCAGAAGGGGCTGACGCACGTATCTCAGATGACTGATTACTCTTGCCGGTCATTGAATGGCATGCAGTGCTCTGTGACAACCTTCAATATGGGGTGCCTGGTCTACCTACGTCACCCAGCCTGTTGAAAGCCAAGTGCGAGGCAGGAGGTGAAAGCCAAGGGAGGGGAGTGTCCTGCCTTGGGCGAGTAGCACGTGACGGTTTGTAGCTACGTTCACTTTTTATCTTCGCCAGTTCTCAAACCCGGGGCCTCATTCAAAGATATGTGTGCCGCGGAAAGAGCCATGCCGTATAGTCCTTGTTTTTAAGCGGTAAGCTGTCGTAAATTCAGGTCAGTGGAGCCCAGGATCCAAGCATGACGACGACAAGTTACCATGACTTTCTGAAAGTATGACAAAACGAAGACACATGCAAGGCCTATGAGCCGATTCGCGAGGGTCGATCGAGACTTGAAATTCAAGATTGGAATTACTCGTGTCCCGAGACAGACGTCACAGAAATCAACATCTCGGGATGTTTCGTTCACTTGTCGTTCTAGGCGGGAGAAACCTCACTGAAGAACCGTGTGTGGCACTTGCAGCACTGTATAACATCAGCCAATAGAGGACCTCGGCGAGCTTCCCAACCACCCACTCTGGAGACCCCACTTCTAGTCTGATGCACAGCCGCCTGGGAAGGAAGCTGGCACGGCCGGACTCCTGCTGCCTTTCGTTCGTGACGAGGCACACAACCCGATCCACACCTTGACGTCGTAATCGTGCACTTCACTTCGACACGGCTCCGACCGCTTCTCACGACCGAGGTCATCCTCTCCTTCAGGCCACGCACCAGCTAGCAATTGCGAGTGCATCTCGACATTTACAGCCATGGCCAACCAAACTCCTGCCGTTGTCATGGACAAGTAAGTCCACGCCTTGATCCTATCGTCATCCGGTGCCCCGCATTGGGCCAGATAGACGTCGCCAGACGGAACAGCCAGAGCTAACACCCCCCTCTCAGCGGCACTGGCTTCTCGAAGCTTGGTACGACCTTCGAATTCCCACTGAATATATCTCGAGCCCGACTTTTCTGACTTGCGCCGCAGGTTTCGCCGGCAATGACTCCCCCTCCTTCGTCTTCCCGACCGCCATCGCAACCAAAGGTCCCGCAGGCGGTAGCGGAGGCTCCGGATCTGGCCGTCCTGCCGTCGCAAACAAGCCGTCATACCTCACTGGTGGAGCGGGATCTGGTGGTCACCTCAACATGAAGCGCGGCACTGAGGACTTGGACTTCTTCATTGGCGATGCCGCTATTGCCGCGTCGCAAGGTCCAGGTCAGTGGCCTGCTGAACAATGGCCCAGCTGTGTGCTGACGAGAAGACAGGCTACGGGCTTCACTACCCCATTCGCCACGGCCAGATTGAGAACTGGGTATGTTGGAAGCTCTCTAATGGCTACATGGGCACTGACAAGGAGCAGGATCACATGGAACGATTCTGGTCCAACTCCATCTTCAAGTACCTTCGTGTTGAACCCGAAGACCACTACTTCCTCCTGACCGAGCCGGTCCGTACATTCTGAACTCTATTGTTGGGAGTTTCTGACAGCTTTACAGCCTCTGAACCCCCCCGAGAACCGCGAGAACACGGCCGAGATCTTCTTCGAGTCTTTTAACTGCGCCGGCATGTACATCGCTGTGCAGGCTGTTCTTGCGCTCGCCGCGTCTTGGACATCCTCCAAAGTGCAGGATCGTTCGCTGACTGGTACTGTCATCGACTCGGGTGACGGTGTGACCCACGTCATTCCCGTTGCCGAAGGTTATGTCATTGGATCGTCGATCAAGTCGATTCCCATCGCCGGCCGCGATATTACCTACTTCGTCCAGTCGCTTCTTCGAGACCGAGGCGAACCCGACTCGTCGCTCAAGACGGCGCAAGAAATCAAGGAGGAGCACTGCTACGTGTGCCCTGATATTGTCAAGGAGTTCTCCCGATACGATCGCGACCCTACTCGGTTCATCCAGCACCCCGTTCTCCAGGCTGGAGGTCGCAAGACCATGGTCGATGTCGGCTATGAACGATTCCTCGCACCTGAGATCTTCTTCAACCCCGAGATTTACAGCTCCGACTTCCTGACGCCTCTGCCCACCGTTGTCGATGGCGTGATCCAGTCCTCGCCGATCGATGTTCGAAGGGGCCTGTACAAGAACATCGTCCTGTCCGGCGGCAGCACGCTGTACAAGGACTTTGGTCGCCGGTTACAGCGAGACATCAAGCAGCTGGTCGACGCGCGCATCAAGGCCAGTGAGGTGCGCAGCGGCGGTGCCAAGAGTGGTGGTCTCGACGTTCAGGTTATCACGCACAAGAGGCAAAGACACGGTCCCTGGTTCGGTGGCAGTCTACTCGGCCAGACACCCGAGTTCCGATCGTACTGCCACACCAAGGCGGAGGTAAGACATGAGAATTGGCGTGCCCCAGAGACCCGAGCTAACATCCATGGCAGTACCAAGAGTATGGACCGAGCATTGTCAGGAGGTTTGCGCTGCTGGGCGGGCCTGGCGGTTCTTAGACGGTTGGTGTTTCGTGTTTATAGCAGGGGCCTATTGCAATTCTTCAAAAGCTTTTCGCATCTCACTCTTCGTCCTCGAGGTGGCATGTATCTAGCGTGTCTTTGTGATGATGGTTGTCGAACGTCCTAATGAGGACGACAGATGATGGCCGTTGTTGAAGCAGAAAGCAAGAATCTGGGCTGCGAGGAGGTAGGTCGGTAAGCGTCAGCTGCGGTTTCGTTCCGTAGCCAAATTGTCAGGCCCTGCGCAGATGTGAAGGGGCGTCAGTCCTCATACCTCCGTCCGACACCTTGACTTCCGCTCGCCCATGAATTATGCCTGTTGCAGTCGTCGGATGTGCGGCTGACGACGAGGCTGCTTGAGTGCAGTGCTCGGCACAGGGCGAGCTACCCCCGCCTCAGGTATGACAGGATGAGCAGGGGAACCGCTGGTGCATTTGAGATTGATAGTATACTACCATCAGGCGAGATCGCCTGGGGGCATGTTCTTCAAAGGATTGTGGGGTAGGAAGATCCGGGGTGTGGTGTCGAGTAGCGCCATTCCCGCATCACAAGGCTTGAAGGGCATTGTGGCCCGAAGGAGGGTTCCCTTCGAGCGAGACAAGCAACGGGAGCGAGCGTTGGCGAGGTAGCTGCTGCAGACGTGGGGAGAATCTGGGGGCTGGCATGGCCGATTGGCGGGGGCTTTGGGGAGGCCTTGAAGGATCAGATGAAGCTATCTTGGTGCTGATGAACAACGGGCAAGGCCAGAGGGGAGACACTCTTGCTCTGAGTCAGCTACCCCTCATGAGACTGATTCGTCACGATCTCGTGGAAGATCGAGCTGGTCAAATGCGTCGTGGGGTCCTGCACGTTGACCACGGACGGACGGGACGTGAATGATTGGTGTTGGGGCAAGGAGTGTGAGGCCATGCGAGTGGGCAATGGGACGATTTTCTGTAACGTCCTGAGCTGCATGCCAGGGTGGGCGTGCAGTGCGCTCTCGTTGTGTTCGAAGTCGTTCTTCGAGAAGCATCCTCTAGGGACAGCCCAGGGATCAAGCACCATGACCGACGGCGTCAAAAGCTTGGCTGTCGGGCATCGAGCTGATCAAGTTTCGTAATTCTAGTCATTGGGTGCTGCACGTTTGCTCACATCGAGACCTTGTGTGGTGTACCTAGCTACCTGCCACAGCCCAGACGCAGACCTATTCCGGTAATAGTGCCACGCCATAGATCCACTGTAGCTCCCGGCAGGGAGGGGAGCAGGCAGCTCACGAATCCATCGTTGGGTCAACATCATCCGATCCGATTCTGTCCCGGCGAAGCCGTGCAAGCCTCGCTGTGACTATTGTTTCTTGTAGACTTACCCTTCATCAGCACTTGTAGATAAGAGCCGAGGCCTTTGATGCGCCGCGCCCGGAGCAATGGACTCGCATCCGATAAGCCGACCGCCACAATCGCCTGTACCGTTGCTGGCGACAGCAGGCAGCTTCCGCAACCAGCACCATCCAAGAGGCCGGCCGGTGGTTCCACCGCGTCCACCAACCCTCATCCCGCTATGCTGCCTCAACGTGGACCTTCTCCAGCCCATCGCATTCTGCTAGCCCACCACCATGCTTGCGTCACCGGGATGTCTCAGCGTCATGCGAATCGCGTAGGCCGCTGCCCACTTGCGCCGTTCGCCATCTCCCGCTGACGGAGGGGGGTAGACCGAACGCCTTCGAAGCAAGTGCGTCTGCTATGGTGCCCTTGGATGGCCAGGTGGCAAGCTTTGGGGCCAATGTGACGGCGTGTTCGAAAGCGAGATGTAAGCTCCCGGGAAAAGCATTGTCAACTTGCCAGGTGTGGCTTTCCTTGTCGACAATGGCTCTGGGGGAAAGTAGCCTGCAGGTTTATTGATTCGATAAGGTCTCTTGTCACTACGACCAATGGTCTTCTTGGGTTATCAGCTTGTTCCAATCGTGGTTCTAGGTCTGTTCACTCGGTTTGTTCTACCAACACTGCTTGCACCTCTACTCCGAAAGGTATCCTGCTACAAGCCTGGCACTAGGTCAGGGGTGATATAGGCCAAGCTTTCTAAATATCGTCTCTTTTTTGAAAGTCATAGCCATGCTCTTGATCACTATTTACTTCCGCGCTTGGAACTGAGAGCAAGGTTTGGTAGGAGACTGGAAGGCACTGCGCTGGCGGTTCCAACATGTCTGGGGGATTAACGTGCTTTGGGCACACCTCGAACTCACTAGCAACACCGTAAAGATTGGGGGATGATGTTCGTTACTAGTCGTACTTGCGATTTTCAGTCATTCTGGTAGTCCATTCCATCCCGTGCACGTGAAGCGTGGGACAATCAACCCTAAGCACCCTGATGGTCAACCAGCCTAGTAGAGCAGTGGTCTTGTGCGAAAGACATGGGTGTTTCTCGAAGAATAACACATAGACAAGATACCTACAATCTTACAATACCATATCTGGCCCTCCGTTACTTGCTTTTTTCTTCCTCGTGTGAAATTAATCCTTGTAAATCGGGCCAACAAGGAATCCCACCGGCACGCTGTATCGTCACTTATGGCTCGTCTGGGGCGCGACTCTACGACGTCCTGTACCCCTTCAAGTGATGATCTTTCAATTATACAATTGAACAGTAAGCTCCACTGGCAAGCCAGATTTGATAATGTATTCACACCCGCCAGGCAACACCGACAACGACACGAGCCAAGTCAAGACAGTGGCAGCTGACGTGCAAGAGGCGACGACTTCATACCATGCATCTGACCTCGGCCATCGAATGCAGTCGCAGCTCAAATATCGCCTCGAATGCAACCTTGAACGAGTAATACGCCCAATATCTACGGCTCTGTGTACTATCCCCGCCAACGTGGTATGAACGTCAGCCGGCTACTGTTGCTCCAGGTCCTGACAGAATCCCATGACCTCGGTACGTCGCCCAGCCTCACGCCAGGCACAACAGCCATGATGCCATGAGGCACATGGAAGCCTCAGAGAAATCGTTATTGGTTCCGACCGGGAACGAAACAGAACCAAACATACAAGAGTCTTGTGGTGTCGGATCTCTGCCTCCCACATTTCGCCGATGGCTCCCCTGTCCCTAGTGTCGATCGCGGCAGGCCGAGCGCTTCTGCGGCTCCATTGTCCGGGCGCCCTGGACCCGAGCGCCTTACCCTTTCCCCCAGAGCTCATGTCTCACGCGCAGCCGCAGCAGTACCAGCACCAGCAGAGCCTTTCCTCGATTGAGGGGTAGCGGCTATCGGGCAGAAGGGACAAGGACGACGGATTCGGGTCGTGGTGTACGCATGAGCGACCTTGGGGGGGGGGGCGCAACTCAAGCGGGGCAGGGGGCCGCAGTAGCTCGAACCCGGCTCGCGTTCGCTGCCGCCGATCATTGGCCCGCCGGCATCGAACGTTTTTGTCTCGAGTTCCCGACAGGAGCTCTCTCGGGGTTATCGAGGCATCATGATGAAGCAGTCTCACCACTTCGGTTGGGGGTAGCTCCTTGCGCTGGTCACTGCCCACCATGACTTGGGCCAGCGCCGCCCGACCGTGAACGGGGCGTGTGTGTGTGGGCTGACGGATTGAGCATGGCGTTTCTATATAAGAACGTGTGCCTGGTGCTTTCTGCTTCGAATGTGAAGCTTTCCAAAACCAACGGACGCTCTCCCCCCTCACAGCTTCTCAGAACATTTCTCGAGTACATCTGACGCTGTACCGAGCTCATTACATCACTGCACCAGTATTACGACGTCTCCATCTCGTCCCCTCGCATCCACATCCCCACCCAAAATGGGCGCAGACATTCCCTCGGAGCAGTGGGCTCAGGTCATTGAGAAGACCGGTGGTCGTACGTTCCTGCCTCTCTCTCTCTCTTTTTCTGCTCACTCCCTCCTTTCGCAGCTATCCTGTACTGACGAGCTATAGCCGTGGTCTACAAGAAAATCCCCGTCCAGAAGCCCGGTCCCGATGAAGTGCTCATCAACATCAAGTACTCGGGCGTCTGCCACACGGACCTGCACGCCATGATGGGCGACTGGCCCCTCGATACGAAGCTGCCGCTGGTCGGTGGCCACGAGGGCGCCGGCATCGTCGTCGCGCGCGGCGAGCTCGTCAGCGAGGTCGAGATTGGCGACCACGCCGGCGTCAAGTGGCTCAACGGATCCTGCCTCGCGTGCCCGCACTGCCTCAACGCCGACGAGCCGCTGTGCCCCAAGGCGCTGCTCTCGGGCTACACGGTCGACGGCTCGTTCCAGCAGTACGCCATCGCCAAGGCGGCGCACGTGGCGCGCATCCCCAAGGAGTGCGACCTCGAGGCCGTCGCGCCCGTGCTCTGCGCAGGCATCACCGTCTACAAGGGCCTCAAGGAGTCGGGCGCGCGCCCGGGCCAGTCGGTCGCCATTGTCGGCGCCGGCGGCGGCCTCGGCTCGCTGGCGCTGCAGTACGCCAAGGCCATGGGCCTCAAGTCGATCGCCATTGACGGCGGCGCCGAGAAGGGCAAAATGTGTGCCGAGCTCGGCGCCGAGACGTACGTCGACTTCACGTCGAGCAAGAACCTCGTCGACGAGGTCAAGGCCGCGACCCCTGACGGCCTCGGCCCCCACGCCGTCCTGCTCGTCGCCGTCTCCGAGAAGCCCTTCCAGCAGGCGAGCGAGTACGTCCGCAGCCGCGGCACCGTCGTCTGCATCGGTCTGCCGGCCAACGCCTACCTCAAGGCGCCCGTCTTCGACACAGTCATTCGCATGATCACCATTCGCGGCAGCTATGTCGGCAACCGCGCCGACACGGCCGAGGCGCTCGACTTCTTCCGCCGCGGGCTCATCAAGGCGCCGTTCAAGACGGTGGGCATGAGCAAGCTGCAGGAAGTGTTCCACCTGATGCAGGAGGGCAAGATTGCGGGTCGCTACGTCATTGACACGAGCAAATAGTTTTTTTCTCTAGGGAACGCGATGTAACATGGGTGAATGGACGGCGTGGAGTTGAGGCGAGCGAGGCGAGCGAGTCGACTGGTTTGTGGCCGAGTCGGTCCCTGACGTTGTCATGAACAAAATTGAACTTATACTTTGTTACGAAGATGATTTCATGATGAGTCGTGACCATGTGAACCAGCGAGCGACGAGCGCGGCCAAAGCATCTTCTCCCAAGGTACATGACCTGCTGGCGGGGGGTTCGTGGGCACAGACACATTCCGGCTGTGGGTGTGCGATCGAAGTGCCGCGCAAGCTTCCCCGCGCGGCATGTCGATCTCATGTCGGCAGCAAGACGTCACGATAATGTTATGCTACCTAGGCTGATGCTTCAATCAAAAGACCAGTTCGAAGTCGACGTGACATCGTTGCGTTGGTTCATCGCAGGCGTGCGATCTCGGCCTCGTCGCTCGATCCTTCGCATCTGTGCTCTGGTCACTGATCGATGGCCTCCGAAATCACCAAGTCATCAGCTGCTGGCATTGCGCTGACCACAGTTGTCCGCCGAGTGTTGCGCTCGCAGTGTCGTGTACACACAATGTAGAATGCCTGTCGTAACAATAACCATGGCCAAGTCATTGTTGATTGAGTCCGGCTTTTCTTGATTTTCTACAGATGATCTGTTCAACCATATTTCGAAATGAGCTTCTTCATAATGGACATGGCCCCCCCACGATAGCCCCCGCCGAACATGGCATAGTGATTAAGATGATGGTATCTGTTCTTCGTCAGCAGACGTAGACACGACCACGGTAGGCAGGTAAACTCACAGTTCGTACAACTTGACGCGATCTTCCCATTCGGCCTTTGGCTCCGCCTTGGGCACAAGCTCTTCATACTCGTTCCAAAATGCGCCGCCAAACCCGCCAAACATGCGCATGATGCCCAGTTCGTATTCAGAGTGCCCATAGACGGCACTCGCATCAAAGACGACCTCCTCGGCACGTCCCTGCCCATCGATCCGTCCCGTGCCGTGGTTCCCGCTCCAGAGATCGCCATGCACGACAACGGGCGCGATGGGCCCGATCGTCTTCTCGCCCACCAGCCGCGGCGTGACGACACCAGCAATCTTCTCCACAGCCTCCTCGAGCTCGGCGTCAGCCCCGTTGGTCTTGACACCCGCGCGGCAGATGGCCCGCAGCCTGTTCTCGGCGTAAAATTCCGCCCATGACGTCTTGAACGTGTTGTCCTGCGGCGTGGCGCCGCAGCACGTCGTCACGGGGAAGCCGAAAACAGGGGCGTCAAACCCATCCGGCGTCGGCGCCGGCGTCGTGTGCAGCTTTGCGAGCTTGGCCGCCAGGGACAGTCCTGAACTTGCGCCGGACTGAGAGGCGCCGAGGTCGAGAAAGTCGGTAGCGAGGAAGAAGCGGTCAGGGCTGTTGGCGAGGGCGCCGTGGGCGTGGGCGCGCGGGCAGAAGCTGGGGACAGCGGCGGCGATGGCGTTCAGGGAGGCGTGCTCGCCGCGGAACATGACCTCTGAGGCGGTGCCTGTGCCGGTCTTGACGAAGTAGCGTTTCGGCTTGCCATCAAGTGTCGAGGTCAGCTTGAAGGTGGAGGAGAAGCCGGAGCCGCCGTGGGAGGTTATCTTGGTGTGCTCGGGGGTGAGGCCGAGGGCTTCGATGATGGCAGGATCGACGTCTGGCATGGCGGTGGTGGTGATGATAATCGTGTTGGGAGTTTGGCTTAGATGCAGTATGGTAAACGCCCAAGTTGACGTGTCTGCCTTTCTACACGGTAGACTTTTCAGTTAGTCATTCAACATACGATGTGCGGCTTAAGGCAGGCGACAGATCCGTGGATGGCGGAAGGCGGAAGGCGGAAGGCATGATGAGATGCGACGCTGAAGTGACGTCATGGCAATTGGTGCATGACAGAAAAAGGTGGACACGGGAGTGTAGAATGGCAACGAGGACGCTTCACAGATCTCTCCGTGACAGAATATTGGTAATTTTTCTCTTGCGTCTATGGGTATCTGAAAATAGAAGAAAGAAATATACATGATAACAGGATGCTCAAAAAAGGTCGTCTGAATAACGTTTGCCCCACGACAGCTGGCCGGGGGTTGGTCCGTTCGCGCAACACACGCTACAGGGATCTCGAGGCCCCCAAGCCCACCCCCGAGACCTCCCAAGGGCCCTGAAGAATTTCGTTTCTCCGGGAGACGGTTCCCGGTGCTGAACAACTCACCACCGATAGCCGGAAAGAGACCACATCTCCGGAAATCCATATGCCGACCGAATCCAGGCTCTGTAGCAGGATGACAGGCGGCCAGGTCAATGGCCTGCGGCTGAATGGCAAGCGTCCCCAAAATCCCAAGGCCTGGACCCAGCCGCCATCCCCGCGTGTCCCCTGACAAGCGTCCCCTCCCCCCCAAAAAACTTGTGTGACTTGGGGAACGGGAAGCGTGGCATGTCCCCTTCAGCTGAATCTCGCCGGCGATCCCCATCACCGGCCATCCTTCCCAATCTCGAGGGCGCCCAGCTCAGATAGCCGCAGACTTCCCGACGGCCCAAAGGCACTGCAACCCAAGCCTTTTTTGTCCCTGATCTGCCTTGCTTTCATCCCTGCCGTATGCATGAGCCAGAGACTCGGCGGAGACCTCGTGATGGCGTGTGAACCCGCAAAATAAACGCAAAATCAAACAGAGGCACCGCCGCCGCCAGTCCACCTCTTGAACCCCTCCCCCCGCCAAACCCCAGACCCCCAGACGCCTAGCCTTGGCCATCCGCCAGCCCACCCTTGCGTGTGGGGGTGGTGGAAGAAAAAGGGCCCAACAACAGACGGGCGAAGGGGGGTTTCTCGCAATCCATCTCGACCAGCGCCTTCCTTCTGGGGAAAGGCCCGGTCGACCGGCTCGACAATGCCAAGCCAAACCCCTCCCCCTCCATGAATCTCTCACTGCCTCAGAGAAACGAGGCGCGCCCTTTTCCTGCGGCACGCACCCGGCTCTTTGTCGTTTCTGTTGTCCAAACGGTAAAGGTGCTGTTTTGTCGTGTGTCTTACACCGCCTCCCTGGCCGCGAAGGATCCGTACTCCGCCAGCGAGAGCTCGTCGCTCTGCCTGGGCATTTGCGAATGCAGGCTTGTCGTCGAGTGGCCGTCTTGGAAGAGGGGCACGAGGTCGGAGGGTATCGCCTTGCGCAGCAGCGACTTGCGGAGCACGTTGCGCGTCACGGTCGACGATGACGAAGACGACGACGTGGACGAGTTTGTCGATGCCGGCGAGAGCGATGGCCTCGTCACCGGGGCGGCGGCGGCCTGTCGGCGCTCGCGCGAGGGCACCATGGGGACGGGAGGAGCGCGGCTCGCATTGTGAGGATTGCCGTTGAAGCAGTCGGTGCAAGGGCACAAGGTCGACTTGTTGGCTGCGGGGGGCGGGGTGCAGTGGCGCTTCCACCAGCTCTGGGACTTCTCGCTTTCGTTGGCGTACATGGTGGTGATGTGTTGAGTGTATCGTTGAGCTGAAGGTTCAGAGGTCGAGATCGGATAGCAGTGATGACTACAAGTCCACGAAAGACAGGTACGCTTCGACAACGGCTGCAGGGCAAGGACGAACGACTGGGAAGGTTCAAAAGCTGCCACACATTTTAGGGAGAGGGGGGGTTCCAGGCTTTTATGTACTCTCGCACCTTGCATCCCAGACACCACACCTTTTCAAATAACCAAGGTAATTCCTCTGGTCTTGGGTCAGGGTCTGGATCTTGGCCCGGGACATGGCTCCGGGCATTGATCTCCGACGCGGGCGTTGGAGAAGGGGGGGAAGGGGGGGGGGGGGTTGTGGCTGCATGTACAGGTGGGACCCCTTGTCGCCGGCAACCAAATCCACATGTGTGCCCGCCGACTGGCACATGTCCCAAGACCACTAGATCTGGATTAAGAGATCTCAGCCCAGAAGAAGCGCTCGCTGAATCAAAATGTCTTACCGTTCATTGGTGCATCAGAAAAGGGGTGCGACAAGCCACTGGACGCCGCCCACGACTCTAATCGCCAAGCTCTAAGCCCGTCTGATGCATACCTTACCTCACAAAGACCTGCCAACGAGTACCAGGCAGAAAGAGAAAGCACAATCACAAAAAGAGAAAAAAAAAAGTTTCCATTCGAGATGGGCTCGGAGATCGAGCTTGAGGAATACGTACCAAATAGTCCTTGTTCGTCATTTGCGGCCGGCGCCCGGGTTTGGCTCGGAGAAGACTCGCGGTCCACCACACCGCCCGTGTGTAAAATGGGGCGCTCAGGGTCGTGATCGCGCCTTCACCGGCGTTTTCTTCTCGGGCAACTGTGGGCCCTCGCCTCATTGCAGGTTCATATTGAACGATCCTGTCTGATCCTGGCGCTGTTCAGGGCGACCAGTGCTTGGTTCGCTGCCAGACTGATGTGACACTGAGGGAGTGTTGCCCAATACTGAATAAGGTACTTCGGGTAAGGTAGCCAGAGAAAGCGCCTGTCCTCCATACAGACCGATATACAAACGTTATGCATCTCACCGCCATACTACGACCATGGTTGCAAAGACTGAAGAAAGAAAAAAGAATGAGACAAAATCTAGAGGCGAATCCTATCCACGCCGTCGACACATCATCGTCCCCACCAGCCACATCCCGAGCCAATTCTAAACATCGTCGTGCCAAGCTCGGCATCGGCGTCCCACCCGCTAAGACTTCTGGTAACGGCCTCCCGCATGAATGCGCTATTCCCGTGGCCAGGCACCAGGGGTCATGCATTCTTTGAGACCACAGACGTCAGTCCTCTTGAGCCTCAGCAGCCTCCTTGTGGGGCGGCATCCAACGACGTCCCCTTCATCCGGGCGATGGAGACGGTTGCATAACCGTAGGTTGGGCCGAGAGAGGTGGGTAGGGTGAGCCGGCATGGTGTTGAGACAGCCCAGTCAGTAGATGGAAAAATTTGATGTGCGTAGGATTCTTGCTTATGGCCATTTGTTCTGTGCCTTGCTTGGCTTTTCTTGCATCTCGTCAAGACATTGTTCCGTCGTCGTGGCCAGCTACCAAGACTACTTTACCCAACGTACTGTGATGTGATCCAAACGCTGTTCGGACAGCAGGGGTTCGAGAGTGTGTTTCTATCACGATCTGCTTTGCTGGAGGCCGCTCCTTGTACACAACGCAAGGATGGCCGACCACCATGAACCATCATCTCATCTTGTATCCTGGGTGCTTGGTGTCTAGACATGGCAGTTGGTCGTGCTTCCAAGACACACTGATCCGCCAACACGGTCGTGACAACGGAAACGCATGGTCGGGAACCGAAGGAACCAACAGACAACAAGAGCCCGTTCGATTCCTTCAAAACTAAACAAGCCGCCGTCAACCATCCCTTGGTCATTCCCTCTGATAGTTCAATTTTTCGGCGCCTTACCGAAATTCATCAAAACTGCCTTGTCATTCACGCAGTACTCCCCAGGCGCGCGGTGCCCCGTCCAGATCTATCAATATGACCATGCCGCCTCACATCCACCTCAGCTCCTTCATATCAGTATCGTGCGACGAAGACATGTTCACCCTGCCGCCGCGACTCAACATCATCCCAGCTGTCTCCCGGAACCCCTTCAGCACAGCTTATTATCGTGCCCAGGAGCTCGCTCTCGAGCAGGAGGATGCTCCCTACCGCACCTATCAGCTCGCGTGCTACGCGGCGCGACCGCCTCGGCCGCCGACCACCCGGCATGCTGTCGCCGCCACCACGAGGCAACGACCCGCGCCAAAGAGAGGGAACGGAAAATCGCCCTGGCGCGCCATGACTCTGGTTCTGCGGCTTTTGCTGGGCTTGCCCTTTGCATGCTGGATAATGGTCTCGAGAGCCGGAGCTGAACTCGGCTGCAATGTCAACCGCGCGGCCGATAATTTGCGCTTCTGGTATAGACTCCATGTGCACGCCTCGTGGCTCGCATGTCGACCTACGCGAGGGTCCCTGCTCGGGTCGACCGTGAAGGCGGCTTGCGCTGCAATGCTATTGCATCATGTATACTGTAAGTTGGCCGACACAGATGATGGGCCGCGATACGTGCTAGTGCATGAATGCCGCGTATGGTCGGGGCCGTTCAAAGCATGACCAAGTTAAGCGCATGAAGCTCGGCCAGGCAAAACAAGACGAGCACAGGGAGAGAGTTGCACTTGAACAACTGGAAAGACTTGCGGAACGATGAAAACTGGATTGGCTCCTCACTCGCGGATAACGCGCGCGAATGACGATGCTATGACACAAATTGCCCTCTATAACCGCGACCGAACCGACCTTTCCCCTATCGCACACGTCATGAGGAACCTGCCGCCAAATTAATACACAAGAGGTGTTTTCCGCGCTGGGAAAAAAAAAAGACCACGCTAGGGTTTAGATACCCAGGGTGAACTCGACACCGACATCGCTCTCACGGGCTGTGACAGGGTCAGTAAATGTAGTCATCGCAGTATTAGGGTCAACAAGTCTACTCACCCAGCTTGACAACCTTGGACAGCTGGACAGCCTTCTCGGCGGCAGTCTGGAGCTCGTCGATGGCGAAGATCTTCATGCCAGAGTCGGCAATGATCTTCTGGGCAGCCTCCATGTTGGTGCCCTGGAGACGAGCAATAATGGGGATCTTGAGGTCGAGGGCCTGGACGGTGTTGATCAGACCGGTGGCGATGTGGTCGCAGCGGACGATACCACCGAAGATGTTGACGAAGATGGCAGAGACCTTGGCGTCGCTGGTGATGAGCTCAAAGGCCTCCTTGATGGCCTGGGGGGTGGCACCGCCACCCGACGTCGAGGAAGTTGGCAGGGGCACCGCCGTTCAGCTTGATGATGTCCATGGTGGCCATAGCAAGACCGGCACCGTTGACGAGGCAGCCAATGTCACCGTCAAGCTTGATGAAGTTCAGGCCGGACTTGGCGGCGCGGACCTCGTCGGCGTCCTCCTGGGTGGTATCGCGCCACTCAAAGACCTCCTTCTGGCGGTAGTCGGCGTTGTCATCGAAGCCGAATTTGGCATCCATGCACATGACCTTGTGGTCGGAGGTCTCGGACAGAGGGTTGATCTCAATCTGGGTAGAGTCCTTCTCGGTGAAGATCTTGTACAGCTTCTGGATGGTGTCCTTGGCATCCTCGACGCACTGCTCGCTGAAGCCAAGCTTGACAGCAATGTCGCGGGCGATCTCGTCGGTGACACCCTTGTTGATGTCAATGTAGGTGGTGTTGATGGCCTCGGGGCTGTCCTTGGCGACGGCCTCAATGTCCATGCCGCCCTGCGACGAGGACACGATGACGGGAGTCTGGGAAGCACGGTCCATCAGGATGGCGAGGTAGAACTCGCGACGAGCGAACTTGCGCTCGCAGATGTAGACGGCGTTGCAGAGACGGCCGCCGGCGCCGGTCTGCTTGGTAACGAGCTTGTGGCCAATCATCTGGTCGGCGAACATCTCCGCCTCGTGGGGAGAGTAGATGACACGGACGCCGCCCTTCAGACCGTTGTCGAAGGTGCCCTTGCCACGACCACCAGCGAGAACCTGGGCCTTGATGACCATGTCCTCTCCGCCAATCTCCTTCGCTATGGCCTTGGCCTCGGCAGCGGTCTTCGCGACGGAACCCTTGGGGACGTCGATGCCATACTGGACGCGCGAGATAAATTAGCCCAAAAGTCGTTTCAAGGGGTAGAGAAAGGGGCGGGATTCTTACCTGGCGCAGGAGGTCGGCAGAAAGATACTCGTGGATGCTCAGGTTTCTCCTTTGCTGCTGGGCGAAGCTGGGGAGTCTGGCGGAGGGAGAGGTGGCAAGCTGATGATTCTGGTTAGAGCTCCTGAATGTTTGGTCGCCAGGAGGCAGCGTATGCGGCTCACCTTGGCAGGCTTGAAGGCCGAAGCCAGAGCCCGGTTGCGACCGAACTTGAACATGATGACGACAAGCTGCGCTCGTGCAATTGATGGCAAAGAGGAAAGGTGAAAAGGAGTGGAGAGTGGGGAGTGTTGATGACAACAAAAGGGGACGATCGGGTCGTTTGTGCAACGGTTTTCGCGAAGCTATCGAGAACTCTCTAACAGCAAAGCTGGGATTGGCTGGGGCCGGGCACCCGCGGTATTTCCCGATGTCCCGACTCGACCGACCTGGGCCTGCTTTGACCACCTCGGAAGCCGAATCTTCCGTCGGCGGTTTCGTCTCCTTATCGATGGCATTCACCGAAGCTATGTTCCACACCGAGGCCTCACTTCGGTGTGCCCCTCAGCATGACTCCCCCGCCATCTTCCCCGCCTTTACTCCCCTGTACCTCGTCAAAGTACCAAGTTAGGTACAGTGAGGTGATGATGATCTGGGGGCCGAAAGATCTTGGTGTTGATCTTGCACAGGTCAGGTCAAACAGTCCTGCGCCTGCCTAACGCTAGCCCCAATCACATGTTGGTCGCTCCTTCAGTCGAAACGAAACACGCTCTTTTCCCCAACCCTCCTGTCCGTGCCGCATGAGCTAGTTGAATGGTGCCGCGGTTCTGTTGCACTCTTCATCATGTGCTTAAACCTGAATGAGCCCGCCGGTGTGGTCATAAGGAGGATGAGGTCGCATTTGGGATCCTATGGGCGAGGGACACATTTTTCCCTGCCTTTTCAGTGAGACGTCTATTCGTCTGTCTGTCCGTCTCTGACCATCAACCAATCCGGTCTTATGAGTGGCTGCGAAATCTTGTCACAAGATGTCCTTCTTTGAACAAGTCCTGTCCCACCCGGGCTTCGTGCTGCTCGGGTTCCTCGCGCTGGCGACTCTTGTAGTCGCAGGGTTCAGAATCCGCACTGAAGTTTGTGTGCGTCGCCTGGGCGGCGTGCGCGCTCCCATCATCGCAAGTAATCCAGTGACAGGTGAATTATTCAGCGAAAATCCTGACCGTGACAATGACCTGATATTTTTGGTAGCATTATCCGTCTTTGTCAACCTTGGCAGGGCTCAGGCCAAGCACAAGCTGCCCGAACTGTTCACTTCACTGTGTAACAGTGCCACACCTGGCAAGGCGCGTTGCGTTGAGATCACTTTCTTCGGCCGTCATCGCTTTATCTTGACTAATGAACCGGAACATATCAAGACCATCTTGACATCCAAGTTTGTCGACTTTGGTAAGGGACCGGTCTTTCATGAAGGCTGGGCCCCTTTCTTGGGTGACAGCATCTTCACCACCGATGGCAAGGTTTGGCAAGATAACAGAAGTCTGATTCGACCCATGTTCGTCAGAGACCGAGTTCGGGACCTTGCCATCTTCGAACGTTGGACAGATAAAATGGTCTCCAAACTTCCGGCTTCCGGCATGACCGTCGATGTCATGGACCTCTTCTACCGCTTGACACTTGATGTCACGACAGATTTCTTGCTAGGAACCAGTGTAAACAGCCTTGACAAGTAAGATGAATAGCTGTGGTCTCGAGGTGCTTTGTCACTAATTTATCGATAGCCACAAACACCACTTCGCTGAAGCCTTCAACGAAGTCCAACGCATGCAGATGATTTATACCATCTTGTCGTAGGTTCTAGCTCCATTGCGTCTTCCCTATGAATAGTGCTTACAACATCCACGTAGACCTTTCCGCTCCCTTCTTCCGAAAGGCTCTTACAACGAGGGTATCAAAACCATCGAGCAATTCATCATGCCCTTCATCGAGCAGGCTCTCGCGCTCCCCATCGAAGAACTTGACAAGATTTCGCGCTCTGACAAGACCTTCACCTTCCTTCACGCCATCGCCCGCGCAACTCGAGACCGCAAAATCATCCGGGACCAGCTGATCGCCGTACTCCTGGCTGGCCGTGACACAACGGCAGCAACACTGTCATGGACCATCTACCAACTGGCGCGCGCTCCCAAAGTCGTCGCTAAGCTTCGATCGGAGATTCTGACAACCGTCGGACCCTCGCAATCGCCCTCATACGAGAACCTCAAAAACATGCCGTACTTAACACATTGCCTTAACGAGACACTCCGCCTCTACCCAGCCGTTCCCTTCAATGTCCGGACCGCTCTGCAAGACTCATCACTACCTGGAGGGCCCGGCCAGCCCGACATCATCGTTCTGAAGGGCGATGCAGTGACCTACAGCCCGTATGTTATGCAAAGGCGTCATAACCTCTACCCGCCTGTGGGCCCGGACTTCGCGGACCCCCAAGTGTATAGTCCTGAGAGGTGGCAGAAGTGGACGCCTCGACCATGGCAATACGTGCCTTTCAATGGAGGCCCGAGAATCTGCGTAGGACAAAATTTTGCCATGACAGAGATGGCGTTCTGCCGTAAGTCCAGCCGCAGCTACTATTCGCAACTGTTGGACTGCCAGCGCTAACCTCCTGTAGTGGTCAGATTGTTCCAGAGATACCAGAGACTTGAGTATCGCGGCGATTGGGAAGGACAGTTCCTCAAGGCCGATATTGTGGGGGCTCCAGGACATGGAGTGCCTGTAGCGTTCTTTGAAGACGCGGAGATCAAAGCTTGATACTAATATGCGCAGTCTTTCGATGTAATAGTGGTGGAGCAAATGCACCCTTGCTGTCGTGCATTCTTGGCGAGACATTGCGAATGGAGCGAGCTCAGTACGAGGCGGATCCCCCATGCAAGGGCTTGTAAATGTCACAAGATAATGATCAAATATCATGTTGGACCTACACACCTATTTTAGCCTTTATCTCTATTTTTTTTGAGTCTGTATCCATCAAAAAACCGTCATGTTCCGGAACTCATTCAGCTTCACGGTCCTTTGTGCCAACATTCACAGTGGTCACGTGATCTAGCCAGCCAGCTGCACGTGTATTTCGAGCTGACCAACAAGGAGATCCTAATGACCAAGTAATTTGGTCCCAGACAAAAGGTCCGACTTGAACTGACGACAATACCTTGTTCCAAAGGTCCGGACCACATTGCGCGAATCTCCAGATCCCTGGCATGTACCGATTCTCAACTCTTTCATGAACCAACTTTGAGGATCTTGCGCAATGAACGGTCACTTTGCTTCGGTTGGCGCTGAGCCGGGCGCTCAGGATTATGAGCATGGCGTCCAGGTCATCGACGATCAAAAGGAGTTCAAGTACGCCATCCCCTGAACCCACATCCCCGCGCGCAAGCAGCGGCCAGCTGCGCGAAGCTCTCGATGCTGACGTCCATGCCACAGCTCCCAGCTCAATGACTACCTCCGGCAGGTTCACACTGCCGAGTCGGGTTTCAACTACCACATCATTTCCGTCTTTGGTTCGCAATCGACGGGCAAGTCGACCCTCCTGAACAACCTATTCGGAACCCACTTCTCTGTCATGTCCGAGTCAGAGCGCCGCCAGACCACCAAGGGTATCTGGATGTCGAAGAATAAGAAGGAAACCGGCATGGCAGAAAACATTCTTGTGATGGATGTCGAGGGTACCGATGGCCGCGAGCGCGGCGAAGACCAGGACTTCGAGAGGAAGAGCGCCCTGTTTGCGCTTGCGACTAGCGAAGTCCTGATTGTCAACATTTGGGAGACGCAAGTTGGTCTTTACAACGGAGCCAACATGGGCCTGCTCAAGACTGTTTTTGAGGTCAACCTCCAGCTCTTCCTCAAGGATAAGCAGTAAGTGGACGTATGGCCTTCTACGATGGGTGTCGTGACTGACTCGACCCCAGATCGAACCTCCGATCTCTCCTCTTCTTCGTCATCCGCGACCACCTGGGGGTTACCCCTCTGTCAGCCCTGCGCAACACCCTGATCCAAGATCTGTCGAAGATCTGGTCGTCCATATCCAAGCCCCAGGGCCTCGAAAACTCCCGCATCGAAGACTATTTCGATTTCGGCTTCGCTGCTCTCCCGCACAAGATTCTCCAGGCCGACAAGTTCGTTACCGAGGTCCAGAACCTGGGAACCCGGTTCACTGCTGGACACCGCAAGGGCACCGGCGACGAAGAGTTCGACGGCGGCGTCTTCCTCCCCGAGTACCACCGACGCATCCCCGCCGACGGCTTCTCGATCTACGCTGAGGGTATCTGGGACCAGATTGTCAACAACAAGGATCTCGATCTGCCTACGCAACAGGAGCTGCTCGCTCAATTCCGATGCGACGAGATTTCCAGAGAAGTCCTCATCGGCTTCGACGAAGCCATCGGGCCCCTCGAGGAGAAGCAAGCGGATGCGACGCGCAATGGGAAAACGGCTGTGCTCGCGCTCCTCGGCGAGACTGGCAGCGGCGCACGGGACAAATGCCTGAGGGCGTTCGAGGTCCAAGCCAGCAGGTACCACAAGGGTGTCTACACGAGGAAACGACAGGACCTGGAGAGCAAGATCGACGCGCGCCTCAAGTCTTTGTTCATGGCCCACCTCACGGCGGCGCACAAGTCTGGCATTGATTCTTTCAGCAACGCCGTGTCGACGGCTGTCAAGGCTGGTCAAAAGTCCGGTGCAGCTTACGAGTTTGCGGAAATTGTCACCGAAGAAAAGGCCAAGACACTCGAATTCTTCAAGAAGGAGGCACAAAGTCTTGCGATCCAAGGCGTTCCTTGGACCAACTTCAAGCCGCAGTACATGCTCTACGAGAAGGAGCTTGACGAGGTCAGCAGTAAATTGCGCAAGGAGGAGATGCGCCGCTTGGCCACGCGGGTCGAGCGCTGGGTCAAGTCGCGACTCGGAGAAGCGGTTGGCGTCGAATTCAACAAGCTCGGCTCCGGGCGTGCTGGTTCGGGCGCCCCTGAAGAAGGGGACAAGCCTGCCGAAAAGGATCTCTGGGACCGCATTTGGACAGTCTTTGTGGACATTGTCAAGGAGGCTGAGACGAGGTTCTCAGAGAGGGCAAAGTCTTTCGAGGCTACGCAGGAGGAAATGGATATTGGTCTCTGGAGACTGCGTCGCAAGAGCTGGGTCGCTCTCCGAGAAAAGGTCGAAGAGGAGGTCATGGAGGGCAACATACTCCTGAAGCTCAGGGAAAACTTCGAGGACAAGTTCCGTTATGACGAGGTTGGCGTCCCCAGAATTTGGTCGCCTACGGATGACATTGAGGGCATTTATACCAAGGCGCGGGAGTCTACCCTGACCTTGGTCCCTCTCTTGTCCAGATTCCGTCTGTCAAAGACGTACGCGCCGCCCGATCTCCCCGAGTGGATCGGCGCTCAGCCGCGCGGTGTTGAGGCGGGCGACGAGGAAGATCTCACTCCGATCGGCGGCGTCGACGAAGAGGACGGCAAGAGCCTTGAGGAGGAAATGACCGTGCTCAGCGAGAGCAAGCGCCAGGATCTTGTTATTCGCTTCAAGAAGACGGCTGATGGTGTGTATGTGGAGGCGAAGCGAAGCGCCATTGGCGGCGTGGCCCAAGTACCGCTGTACTTTTACGCCCTGCTTTTGGCGCTGGGATGGAACGAGATTTGGGCTGGTAAGTCGCATGCCCTTTTGACTTTTGGCGATCACGAAGCTAATGCGATACAGTCGTCCGCAATCCGTTCCTCTTCATCTTCCTCATCATGCTGGCCGGTGGCACTTATGTAGCTTACACGATGAACATGCTCGGCCCCATGATGCAGATGGCCAACGCGGCAGCGACCCAAGGCGTCGACATTGGCAAGCAGAAGCTGCGGGACTTTATCGTCAACTCGGACATGGCGCGCCAGGGCGCTCAACGTCCCGGAGCGGGACAGCGACTCTGTCCTCCTCGACAGGCTCGACTCCAAGGGCAAGAAGCAGCGAGCTGAGGCTGAGGAGGTGGAGGAGATTTAAAAATCACGCATGATTGACGCAGCGAACTGAGTAACGGAAAAGAAAAAGGGAAAGGGGCATGGCCAGGGATGCTAGCATAGTAGGATAGATAATGTCTATATGAACCTCAACTTCTTTTTCCCCATGAGGGTATTCCTGAACGCCGTTGAC